ATTAGAAGGTGCAGACACAACTACAAACATACTCAGTTACCTTGTCTTTGACAAAGGGGCCAAATATGTTCACTGGGAGAAAGATATCCTCTTCAATAAATGGTTTTGGCAAAACTTTCCACATACTGAAGAATAAAACTGGACCCATGTGTGTCACCATGCACTAAAGTCAAAACTGTTCAAAGATCTAAATATTAAAACAAATATTAGATCTACTGGATGACAAAGTAGGTAAAAGTCTTGAAGACATAGGGGTAGGCAGAGAATTCATGAACAAAACAGAAACTGTATGGGAAATACTTCAAAGAATCAACAACTGGAATTTAATTTTATTAACAAGTTTTTGCACATCAAAAGATGTCACCAACAGAATGAAAAGACAACCCACAGAATGAGAAAAAACTTAGCCAATTGTCCCTCAGACAAAGGACTTCTATCAAGAACACATAAAGAATTAAAATTCAAAGACTGAACTCAAAAATGGGCATCTGACATGAAGACACACTGCATAGATGAAGAAATAAATATATGAAATAATATATATGAAAAAATGATCAATATAACTGGTCATTTGAGAAACATAAATTAAAATAACACGGAGATACCATCTCACCCCAGAAAGAATGGTTACCATCAAGAAATCAACCAATAACAAATGCTGTGGGGGAGGGGGAGCAGAACCATTCTACACTATTGGTGGGAGTACAGACTGGGTATTTTCCCAAAAGAATTAAAAACATAAAACCGCAGAGAATTATGTGCACCCATGTTTCTAGCAACACAATTTGTAACAGCCAAATCTTAGAAACAATCCAAATGCCCATGAGCCAAGGAATGAATGAAAAAAATGTATTATTTTTATACAGTGGAGTACTATTCAGCTATAAAGAAAGATAAACTCAAGGCTATTATAAGAGAGTGGATGCAATTTAAGGTTATACTCGTAAATGAAATAAATCAGACACACATGTGTAAACATCATATTGTCTCCCTAGTGTAAAAAACTAAAAGAGTAAATAAGATCCAAAATGTAGAACAGATGAGCTGGGTGTGGTAGCTCACGTCTGTAATCCCAGCACTGGGAAGGCTGAAGCAGAAGAACTGTTGTGAGTTCGAGAGCAGCCTGGATTACAAAGTGAGCGCAAGGCAAACCCAAACTGCATAGCTAGACCCTATCTCAAAAAACCACAAAATAAAATAAAATTTTAAAATGTAGACTAGATATTGTAAAGGCAAAAGGAGAAAAAACTGCTCAAAAGAAAAGAACAACTTGAGTGGGGGAAAGGAGAAAAGAGGAAGGATAAGAAGATATATAGATACAGATATAAAATGTATGTATACATAATGTGCATACATATGTAATAGAATAACTATGCTACTAATCTCTATTAGTTCATTAAAAAAGGTTAGTGCTTGCATCATTTGATCTATTTCTCACGTTTTTATCTTTTAATCTGAACAACTACTTTTAAGATAGCAATATGCAATGTATTAACCATTGTTAACCTCCTATTATCTTGTTTTGAAATTGTATATCAAAACAATTTTGGGGTTTTTTTTCGGATTTTTACTTTTAATTATTTTTTCAAAATAAAAAAGGTACTACTGAGCATAAAGAGAAATGCAAAGGTTTCAAGTATCTAAAGTCGACCCATGAAGGATAAAGAGAATATGAATTGAAAAGGAAAAATAGACAGTTCACAAAATTGAAGAAGGTCCAACATGTTACATTGGGAATACTGGTATAGTTAGTACCCTGAGTTTCATTATAAATCAGTAGAAACTACTGGATAGATAGAATGGGGATAGGTTTAAGAACAAATGAGCACTTTTTCCGAAAGGTAACAAAGTCCAAAATTTTTCAGTGAAGGTTAGCCTTTGAACTGAATGTAGTAGCTGCCCACTGGCAACAAAAGGGTTAAAAACCTAACCAGCAGAACTCAGGTCAAAGACACCCATGTATGGCAAACCTTTCAGAAACTGGGCACTGAAACTGTAACCCAAAACCCACTTACTTAATGCAAAGTGCCCACTCTAGTATTAAACCTGAATACTGAAGTTTTAGCTTAGAAAACCAATTCCTACAACTTGTGACATCATCACAGACAGGGCTCTGTGTGCCCACTGCAGCATGCATGCCATAGGCTCTCCATCAAAGGTACAGACTACAAAGAATTTTCTGCCTAACTGGGCACACTTGTAATCCTAGCTTTTTGGAGGCTGAGGCAGGAAGAACTGCTGTGAGTTTAAAGCCAGCCTGCACTACAAAGCAAGACCCTGTATCAAAAAAAAAAAAAAATTCTGCCCAGTCCTTAGTTCTTTTAGCAGTCCAGAATAGCTGGTTTTTTAAAAATGGACAACTCAGAAAGAATGATTGTGGATCACAGAACATTAAGGTAGTGACCAGCAGCATCTTAAGATTCCTAAATGCATCAGCTATTTAGCCAAGAGAACTATCTATCCTATTCTTGCATAAGTCCTTAGTCCAAGTTCTGGATCTTGCTAATTAATGTTTCCTCTAGTATTTCCTTAGTTGCTAAGACTCAGGACCTGCTTGCATTTGATGTCTCCTAGGGCTATGTGCATAACCCCACCCTTTGACATGAAGTAGTAGTATGGATCCTTGATTTGTTAGTCTGCCACTCACTATGAAAATGTTTCATTACATAGCTGATACAACGCTAAACTCTGAGTCTCACAGATTTAGGACAATATCAGGAGGGTATATAAGGGCACTTCAAAGAGAAAGGATGAAAAATCAGTTCCCACATGATGCAGGTGTCTGGAAATGCTATGAAGGTTTTAGGAGTACTGTGGTTGGGTAAGATACATACAATACCTGAAAAAGTCTTTGAGAAAATTTACAGCAGCCTCTGCCAATGACTGACTTTTGGGGTAGTAGCACGTTTACAAACCACCTTGCTCAATTTGCCCACCCTCTATATGACTTGATCAGAAGGGAACCATGTGTAGTTTGAACAAACTAGTAATACTTGTATGGCAGGCCAATGGTTATGCACCCCAGGACCCAGTGCCCATTTGATCTAAGGGTTACCATGAGTCCTAAAATTACACTTGAGGAGTATGACAGAAACAACCTGGACCAGGCAGTTCAATAGAGTTTTGGTCCCAAAAAGAATGAAGTGGAAACTAGGTATATGGTATACAAGCAGCAACTGCCACACATATATAAAACTTTGCAGCAGGTGGAACCCATCATTGGATCTGCTTTAGTGACAGTAAAAACAGCATATCCAATAAAGGGTTTATGAAGAATCCAGAGTCACATATGGTCTTGGGTCATTTATAGTGGTCCTTATGTTAATTATTCTTGTTGAACTAACAGACTTTGCTATCAACAAACTTCTACAAATTCTTTCTTCCAGGCTTCAACCAATGTTCCACCTCAGGATTTTGATTCTTCAGGACTATCAACAATTCTCAACTGACCCCATAGTCTTCACTTCATCCCCTGTAGATAAGTTAGGGCAAGTGTTCTATGATTCCCATACAGGTAGGGACAAAGTCCCCATACTCAGCAAGTAGCACTTCTGAAATATTGAGAATGTTGGTCTTCAACAGTGAATTATGGAGGAACTATGTCTCTCAGGGGGAAATTAAGTAGAAGGTAGACAAGGACAAATATACAACAGAAAGTCAGAGGCATCTGACCACCATGGGAGACACTGGATTAAAGGACTCTGACCTCAATGGGAGATACCTGGAGTTAAAGATGTCTAACCCTTAACACTGGAAGTGTGAATTAATGGGAGCCCCTCATCCTCCTCTTTCCTTTTGCTCTTCTGCCTCTTCTTACTACTACTCTTCAATATATGTAGCTACTTACTACAAGGCGTATGGTTGGCAATTCTTTCCTTTTTGTGCACAAGAACTTGGATTTTTTTTTTTTTTTTGCCCATTCCACTGTAAGAAAACAAGACAGAGCAAAGATGACTACGTCAAAATATCAAGTGCCAACAAGATTAATACAAAATATCAGAAAGCCAAAAGCTAAAGGTCAATTTGTCCTCTAAAAACCGAGGCACACACAAACTCAAAAGTACATAATCCATGCCCTTGTCCAACCTGTTATTTGCATTGCAGTTTTCACACACACACACACACACACACGTCAGTTTTTGGACGTCATGATACTTCCTCTAAAAACCTTGTAGAGTCAAAAACTCCCCCTGCGATGGGTGGACTGAGTCAGTTCCCAACTTGGGTTCTCTTCATCCCGGGACCTTATTTGAATCTAGTACCTGCCCCTTCCGGAAGTGAGCTCTTCTCCGGAGCCTGCTTTCAGTCTAAGGAGCTAACTTTTGCCTTCTCTGACGTAGCTCTCCTGAGTACGGAGGATTGAACACAGGGCTCCGTGCATGTTAGGCAAGCAGTCTGCCACTAAGCTGCCTCCCCGGCCCTGCTGGCTTCTCTTTTAATAAATCTTACCCTTTTTACTCCTGAGTGTTCCGCTCAATTGTTTGTTCAAAATCCCAAAAACTTGGAAACAACTCCCAGGAGAACACGGAATAACAGGTTTTTTGTTTGGTTGTTCTGGTTTTGGTAGAGGGCTCCACACCTTTCAAATAAAATCCTATTCTTGCATAAGTCCTTAGCATTCCCAATGGCCCTCATCCAGCACAGCGTCTTCTGGCTTACTCAGCTTGAGCATCAGTCCTGCTCAGAGCCCTTCTGCCAAACCTGTTCATGGAGCCTCATCCACAGAAGCTCCAGTGGTTTCTCCGCCACTGCTTTTCGTGGAGCTTTCGACATCTCCAGTGCACAGGTTTAGGCACCGAAGAGAGACGCGGGATTGCTTTTAGGTAGAATTGTTATTTGAGAAGTCACCTACAAGCCAAGTAATAAGCCAATGTGAATCGCAGTTGACTAAGGATGAAGGTTGTGACTGAGGAAAGACTTAAGGAGTAAATCTGCCTCCAGCCCCGCGTTGCCTCGGGGCTCTCTCCTGGCGCGCAGGTGCTCTAGACCAACGGAAAAAGCCTGACCCTCAGCCACACACAGGGCCGGGGGGCAACCTCGGGGTTGGGCTCTAACCCCTTGGTCCACTGATTGGCTGTCTGGGCAGCAGGTCGCAAGTGATTGGTCACTGGCCCAAGTGCCTTGGCACTTGCACGAGGCGCACGTCCTCACTTCCTGAGGAGATTGTGATGGCGGCAGAAGCAACTAGGGTTGGGCTCACCTCCTCTACCTACATACAAGTGGAGAGTAAGCGCCTGCCGTGGGGTACTACCGAGGTCCAGTGAACTCGCTGCGGAATAAGCGTGTGCAGAACTTCCGGTAAGGAGCAATGGCGGGCGGCCTCCATGCTGGTCTTGGAGGCCTGCGAGGTGTGGGCCCGACGGGAGAAAAAGCCTCCCAGCAAGGCGCGGGCCCACTCTCCTTGCCCTCAAGTCTCGAAGACCTTGTAGACCTCCGGGGTGGGTAGATGTAGGAATATCCAGAACCTTCTCTTCTGGCCTACCATACAGATGAGCTTTGTTAACAGTATTCATTGTACTCCCAACAGAACCAGAACTTAGTCCTCATTTCTGTCGAACAAAAATGAAAAGACTAAAAATCTTGCAAATTTTCCATTGTTGCGAGGTCAGGAAGGACTAAAACTTAGGTTTTTTAAAAGGTACTTTTAGTTGTAGAAGTAACAGATAAAATTATCGTGAAACGTTTTGGGGTGGAAAATATAGCGCCTCCCTCTGGCACTTTATGGCCCAATTTGGTTTAGACACCGTGTGGACAACAGCACCTGTGTTCTTTGTGTTTGGTGTGTGTCGGCTGTGATCTTCGGTAAGGGCTCTTTTACTCCGAGCTACATCCGTAGCCATTTGTAGAACTTGAAGGCAGAGTCTCCTTAAGTCTTTAAAAAGTTGTCTAGGCTGGCCTTGACCTTGGACAAACCCACTCAGCTTCCGAGAATATTGGGACAAACTGGCAGGCACGTACGTGCACTCGCATGATTGAGTGAATCTCTATAGGTTAGGGGAAAATTCATTTCACACTTGTTGACCTGCTAATTTACGATGTATTGAAAACACATGTTCAAGTTCTAAACATCACCAGAAGTACGTTAGAGATAGATCTGGACAGTATTTCTGATAGAATGTGTAATTGTATCTAAACTCTTGGAGCTACTACTTGACCTGTCTAATACTTACACTTTCAAAGTGAAAGTGATTCAATTCTCAATCTTTTCAAGGTGGACTCTACTTAGAACTTAATAAACCTTTGTAGAGAACATTGTTTTTTCAGTGGGCAGCCAAGTTTCTCTTCTTGAGTTTTGATCACTGCTGCTATTATACAGAAAATGTACATGTTAAAAAGAAATACTTGTAGAATAAAATTCTTTTTCACCTCTTATTTTGTGGAGCTAGAGATAGAATCCAGGGCCTCAGTGCATGTTAGGCAAATACACTAAACCCCACGCCTTAATTATACTTTTTTTAACAGCAGTACTGCTTCCATCTACTTGAGTACAGTACACTTAGAAGATAATTAAAATAATAGTTCCTTGTACAGAATTAGTACTTTGTAGACTGTGGTGCATCATAAGATTATTTTAATTAGTACAGATTTGGAAATCTTGTGAAAAAGGTTAAGTGTTTTTTGTTAACTCTGGAATTTAAATGGGGCATAATAGCATGGTTGTAAGCAAGATGCAGATATTTCAGTTGTCTGGAAATTGTAAGGCTTTGAACAATTTTTTAAAAAATAAATGCAATTATTGTAATTCACCAAGAATTCTTGATTTTTTTGCTACTAAAACGTGACTGATTTTTGTCTGACTTTCTTACTTTTTTAAAATTAGTTTTCTTGCAAAAACAATTCTTTTAAAATGGCAATATTTCCCACCTCTAGCCCAAGACTGAGAATTGAATACAGGGCTTTCACACTGAATTGTATCCCCAGATCTTTTTTTCTTTTCTTTTTTCTCCCCCCACCCCCCTAGAGTCGGTAGGTAGGGTCTCACTAAATTACCTAGCTGTGATTCAACTTGTGATCCACCTGCCTCAGCTTCTTAGGGTGCTGGGATTACAGGTGTGCACCACTCACACCCAACTGTTATTTTTAAATTAATCTCACTAAATGGTCCAGGATAGCCTTGAACTTTCAATCCTCCTGCCTTAGTCTCCAGAGTACCTGGAATTACACATATACACTACCATACTTAACCAAAACAGCAGTCTTCTAAGTTATTTAACTAAAACAAATGTTATGATAGACCTCAAAATCTACATAATGCATTTAAGTCAATATAAGGTCTTCAAAAATGATTGTAGAGTTTCCTTTTATAAATGTTAAGTTTGGAAAATGATCTTTAGATGGATCTTGTGTATGTAATAATTAGCTTCTGTCTTTGGTAATATCTTTGATTGTTATAAGAGAGCAGTTGTCATTTTAGCCCTCCATGACTTCTTCACAGGATAGGAAATAGCAATCAATTGAGGATAGTATGTTCAAGTTGGAAGAACACTGGACTTGGAATCTGGACTAGAATCTGTCAGCATTTGATCAGCCAAAGCCAATGTATTTTTTTTTTCATTTCTAGGTTTGATATATTATTCCCACTCTACTTAGCTATGATATTTATGAAGACCAAATAAAATATTTCAGAACATTGTGTGTGATTTTAACATATGGCAAATTCAGGGCTGGTGATACAGCTCAGTGGCATAGTGCCTGCCTAGCCAACACAAGGTTGTGAGTTCTAGTCGGTACAAAAAAAAAGATATGGCAAATTCATATTGATACAGATACAAATTAGCTATTTGAATGATTACATACTTACGCCTGGTTTTCCCAATTTTTCTCTCCTTATTCAGCCCTTTTGTAATCCCATGGAAATGTTATTGGAATTCTGGTGTGTCAATTCCAATCTGTTACCTCCACTGCAACCCACAGTGAGAATACACTTAAGACATATTTACATTTAAGGGCAGCCAAGGGGACATGAGTCCAATCTAGGTGAGGGTTCATGGCACAAAGGCCTCAGCCCAGGACCTAACCCGTGAATTTATTAATTCATGAAGAAGGCCATGGCTCAAGGATGAGTGACTGTGAGAATGGCAGAAATTGCATGAGTAATGTGACCTGGGATAACTAGTAGGTCAGAAAGCACCTCTGCAATATGCAGGGAGGATATATGGAAAGACCAATCTTGTGTAACATAATTGAGGTAGCATTTAACATATAGGAGGCTGGTGTTTCAGTTCTGCTGTGCAAACTTTGTCTGCCTTGTGAAGTCATAACCTCTTATCTTGGGGCTCCAATCCTATTGGCAGTCCTGGAGCAGTGGCTTTGCCATTACACTGGACTCAACCATTTAGTGGAAGACACTGATTGATGCAAGGAAACAGGGCTATTGCTTGGCTTCAAAGGTTATATACATCAGTACCTCAGCTAGCCAACTGAAGGAAAAGGAATTAGCTTAGCCAACTCTGTACATATCAGTACATGAAGATAGGACCAGGTTTAGCTAAAGCGGAGGTAATTGCATTCTACATTCAAGGAAAGCCATCCATATGGTCTTCTATCTACACTTGTGACATACATAGTTTCTCCTGAATTTTGTGTAATAAGTCATATTTCTGAGAAAACTCGGTTTTTTTTCTTTACAATAGAATCCTCTTTGAATTTTTCCTTTGATCACTACTGTCGATTTAATATTAAGTATGGAAAGTTTAATTCACAACAAAATCTTATTGATAGGTCAATACCAGGAACTTCAGTGTGGACATACTTTTGGGAACTGTACTTGTTAATAACTGAAGAAGGAATTATATGCCCTGATCGTGAAGTAAGTTTTATAATTTTTCTTTTCCTTTTTTTGGTTTTACTGTGTAGTTCAGGCTGGCCTTGAACTCGGGCTGGCCTCCTGCCTCAGCTTTTCAGGTGCTCAGATTACAAAGCATATGCCACCAATTCCAGCTTAATTTTTCATAGTGAATAGGTTACAGCTTAATATTAAAAGTAAAAAATGTTAGAGAAGTGAAACATCTAGTGAAAAACTAAGAACTTCTTATTTTCCTGCTGAGTCTTTAAGCAAAGAAGCCTAAGTAGGTATAAACCACTTTCACATCTATTTCATGGTTGCTCAAAGTGATCAAGAAAAGTAAAAGACCAAAGTCATACATGTTGGTGACATATTTTGACTCTTTAGAGCCCTCTGTGGAAAATGACTTCTTTTTATTTATTTCAATGCGGTATATTCCTTTCAAATCCCTCTCCTTCCCAGCCTCTTCCACCACGCAAATTCTACAACTACCACCATGCAAATTCTGACCTCTCCCTGTTCCTCAGTCTGTAAGTCATTAAATTTACATTTAAAAGCACCATACAATGAAAAGTCAGGGAAGCAAAATAACTGTCAAACATCAGTATTTACTTCAGAAGTAAGTATACTAAGTATAGGACAACTCCACTGGTACTAAAATTTACCAGACTGTAGCAATCTGCAAGAATGAATACAAATTATGCCACACTGGTGGTACATGCTTGTATTCCCAGGAGAATTACTCGGAGTTTGAGGCTAGCCTGGGCTACATAGTGAGTTCAAGGCCACACTTCACTACAAAACTCAAACCTATCTCTAAATAAATAAATTTTTAAAATAAAGTTTGCTGTATATCTTTTACATTTACTATGAACATAAATGTAATTTATACATTTTCCAAACAGTCGGCTTAATTTGTAAGATTTGTTGTTGTTGTTGTTTGTATGAGGGATTGAATCCAGGGCTCTTGCATAAAGTTACATCCCCAGCTCATTTTTTATCTTTTATTTTGAGACGGGGCTCTCTCTTAGTTTCTAAATGCCCATTCTGGTGCAGAACTTGTGATCCTTCCACCTTAGTCTCCCAGACTTTGGGAATTATGGGCAGTTTAATATGTAAATTTTTAATGTGCCACTAGAGAGGTAGATTGGATTTGTATCCAGTGCTTTTTCTGATAGTGTTACACAAAGGGGACACAAAACTTAGAAGGCAGTCTTCGTTAGCCTAGCATGAGCGCTTTCTTGTGAGATGGAATAGTAGCTCTCTGTAGCATTCCCAGCTGGCCAACCAACCTGTTTGTTTGATCAAAGAATTCTCTCCAGAAGGGAAACCTTCTACACCCAAGTGTCACATCCAAACAAAGCCTAGCTGTCTGCCCACCCTGGGGTTGGTGCATAGGGTGTCTGACAGGGGCTTATACTTGCCTTCCCCCTCAGTGGACAGGGTCTTGCACCTTAATCCTTTTAGTTCTGGCCTTAGCAGTAAACTCCCAAGAGGCCATGGAAACAGTTGTATGATATTCAGCTCACCAAGATGACAAAGACTGTTCACGTTTGAGTTCTTGGAGTGGGCCTTCTCTGCCTTCTTGGAGCAGGCCTCAGGGCAGGGGTAATAGGCATGTCAGTGCATCTTTATTATCAATCTTCTCTAGAACTTCACCAACAGATAGAACATATAACTATCTCCATTCACTTGCTCCAAAACCAGGTAAATAGCCTAGTAGCAGAGATACTTCAAAATCACTGGGCTCTGGATGTCTTGACACCTGAAAAGGGTGGCATGTGTGCTATGCTAGATGAAGAATGCTGTTACTTTGTGAATGAGTCAGGAATTGTCATGGGCAGGATTAAAAACCTCCATGACTCCTAGATAAGAAGCACCAACAACTAGGCTATGGGTATTCTACATCATGGTCCTGGTGAAGTGACATATTTGGATCATGGGCTCCCTTTCTCCTACCTCTACTGGGGCCTTTAATTACAATAATGACCTGCCTTTTTATAGCACCTTGCATTTTTAAATTTTTTCAAGATTTCTCCATTCCAGAATATAAGCCTTCACTAAAAATAGCACTGGCTTCTACATGGGAGCTACCCGTTGTCCCAAGACTCAGCCCTTACTGCAACACCCCTCTTCAGTAGGTAGCCACCAGATAGAGACATGTCACCCCTAACAACCAAAAGATGAGAATGATGGGTTCCTGCCCATGTAAAATTCACCAAACCATCATGGTAATGGTCTGAGATGGTGAAGGGGCCAGAAACAACAACTTACCTGACTTCCTTCTTCTTTCCCCAACCCAACAGTAAATCTCCCCAGCCCTATGCACACCAAAAGACCTCCAGTCCAACATATACATGACCCCTTCATCCAGTACCAAACCTCTCTCAATTGTAATTTGATAAAAAGCCTTTGTTCCCTCAGGAGGGTGCTTGCCGCTCTTCTGCAGCCCTCCTGAGCTGCAATAAAGGCCTCTTTTTTCCTTTCTTTGTCTCTATCATGCCAAAGTCTTATTCAGTAACCTTTTTTACATATCCCATAAGATTGTGTGAGAATGAAGTCTGAATAATTTAAAGGTTCTCTACAAGCTTCTAGGCCATTAAAATAATTTTTCATCATTTGAGTGTAGATGGTTTATACAGAAAATACTGTAATATGTGAAAGTTTCAAAACATGTCCATATTGGAAACAGCCTTTTGGAATTATATGCTTTATAAATTGTGCCCTTTATTATGGAAAATTTCTGTCCCCTCTTCCCTTTTTTGACATGGTATTCTTCAGATGCCACAGGCTTAAAAAAGAGCCTCCCTCCACCCCTCAATGTGATGAAAGATCCCAACAGATTCAGCAATGTCGTTGAGGATGAGTAAGTGCCAAGAACAGACAGTTAGGACCATCTGTGTCATGTCTGTCCTGTTTTAATGTTGAAGTAAAAGATAAGTAATAGTAACTAGGCCTTAATGATTTCATATTTAGTGGTCTTAAATTACCAGACATGTAATAGTTTTAGAATTTTGGATAATACTTCGAAGTGTTTACAAAATATTTACAAATAATGGTTTTTATTTTAGAGTTGTAATAAATCTTTTGTATCATTTTGACTAGTTTTGTTTTAGCTCTCACTTTGGGAGATGACTTGTCCCATGCAACTTCACCCCAAACCCTAGCCATGGCAAATGACTGTATTTATATTTATCACATGCACTCTTTTGACCCTACTGAAGAGTTCTTTTAAAAATTTCCTGAATTGTTACCTCTTTTTAAAGTTTAGAGTTTTGGGGGTTTTTTTTGTTTTGTTTTTTTATCGGTATCGAGGATCGAACTCACAACCACCTGCTTGCAAGGCAGGTGCTTATGCCGCTGAGCTAAATCCCCAGCCCCCCTAGAGTTTTGGTTTTGGTTTTGGTTTTGGTTTTACCTAGTATTTATTTGGAATAAGATATAGAAAGAATAGAAAAATCTAGTCTAGTGGAAAGTCTAATCAAGAAGGAAAGGACAAGTCACCCCATCAATAGATAATTAATATATATTATTAAATCTCATATGTTCAGAAATGTTACAATCTAACCATCATAAATGTAAACTAGAAAAAGTGCAAATAAATCTATGATCTTGGATAGGGAAGCCTTTTTAGGCATATCGTGAAAGTCAGAAGCCATATAAAAGAAACATTTTATTAAATTTGACCATGTTTTTTAATTTGCAGGAAACAAAAACAAGCCAAAAAATTGCCATAATAAAATTTAAATGACAAGCTATGAGGGTCTCATCTCACTTTTGATTTTGCTACAGTTAGATATTCAGAAAAGTTTCTTTTTTAAATCATTTTTGTTTCTGCAGTCCTGGGGAATTGAATCCAGAACCTTCACATTAAGCCACATCCCCAGCCCCTATTTTTTAAGACAGGGTCTTACTAAATTTCTCAAAATAATTTTGAATTTCTGCTACTGGCCCTGCCTCAGTCTCTCAGAGTACTAGGATTTCAAAGGCATGTACCACCATACCTTCCTGTATTTCCTTGTTAAGTACTCCACCCCATGGTTCTAAATTTTTGATTAGACAGACCTTCCTACCTCAAATACTTAATAGTTATTTGGATTCTGGATAGTGGAATTTGTCAAATGACTTGTAAAAGAATTTTTTTCTTAAGATTGCTACAGCTATAAATATGAGACAAGGATACTACCCAGTAGAGGAAGATTATTTTGAGGAAGATTATTTTGTGGAAAAATTGCAACCTAAAACGTATGTATTTCTAAAGTAATTTTAGAGTTATCAATAACATGTCATTCATTATCTTTGTCTCTAACCTGTTGTTTTAGAGTCCTCTTTAAGTTCATAATTTGTTTTAGCTATTAGTGGATTGGCAAGTTTAGCTTCCAAAGCAGCAGCAAATGTTTGTCCTACTTAAAGTTAATAATGCATGAATTAAAACAAGAGACTGACAGTACAATCTTAGCTGAAATTATTGCTGCTAGATGAGAGGAAAATTAACTGTTCGGTTAATCTTAAGAGTGCACTGGTATGATATAATGGAAGACTTTGAGAAGAGATGGTTTGAGAAGTAGTTTATGAAAGAAAATAATAATTTAGGGATTCTCTTGTCTGAAGTATTATTACAAGTATCTTCTTTAGAATTGTAGATTTGATTTGAATTTCTGTGTTTTTGTTTTTTGGTGATACTGGGGATTAAACTCAGGGTCTTTGTAATGAACTACTACTGCAGTTATTTCTTAATTTTTATAGGATCTCCATAAGTCACTAAGTTGCCTAGGCAGGATTTAACTTTACAGCCCTCCTGCTTTAGTCTTTCAAAGAGCTAAACTTGGAGATTCTACGATAAGAGTTGGCATATATATATTTCATGATATAGTGATCTTTTTAAACATATCTGAGCTAGAGATGATCACTGTATTACTTTTGTGGGGGGCAGTACTTTGAACTGATCCCAGGAGCTTTGTAGTGAGTTACATCCTTTCAGACAAATTCTCACTGTATTGCCCAAGCTGGTCTCAAACTTGCCATCCTCCTGCCTCAGCTTCCCAGAGCGCTAGAATTATAGACTTGTGCCACCATGTCTAGCTTATTGTGTTATCTTTTTATTTCATTTAATTATTTATTTTTGTTTTTCCTCCTGTAAATCTGTAAACCTCTTTTGGGGAATGCACCCATTTTATCTCTCTGGTGCAGGACACATGTAATAAATATTTATTAGATGAAAACCATGTTACCTAACTGACGTCTCACAACTGATTGTTGACAGAACCAGACTGAGAACTGAGGCATATTGAATATCAGTATATTTTCCAACTTCTGTAGGTGTAGTCCACCAATCATTTTCTCCATGAGCTCTGTGTAGCATGATTAGAATAAATGTTTATTTGCTTTTGGTAGCAGAAATCAAACTCAGAACCTTGCACTTTCCAGGCAGGCACTGTGCCACTGAACTATACCCCCAACCCCTAGAATAAATCATTAGACTTCCCTCTGTCTCATTGTAAGTAGTGACCATAGATCTTATTTCCACACAGTAACTATTTGCATTAAATTTGAGGCTCCAGCATTTGATCAGTTCTCAGCGGCAAGCCAGTAACTTACTTGTGATGTAGGCTGAGTTTAATGAATTATAAAATTGTGGCCAGTCAAGAGAGCTTACTCCTACCATCAAAGTTCCCAGCCCCTACTTTCTGCTAGCCAATTACTGTTACATGTTAAGAACACCCAGTGTTGGTAGATCTTTTTTCTTTCCCCTAAGATAGTCTGGAATTTTGTATAAATTTTCTGACTTCACAGATTATACTCTTATCTAGATACGTAAGATATCTAACTGGAGTTACCAAGTGAAACATCTTTTTCTGAATTTGAAAAATTCATACTAACCAGACAGTTCCCAAATTTATTCCAGATTACCATTTTATAAATTAAATTCTCCATGCATGCTTATGTTAGAAACTCCTGCTCCATAATTGAAGTACAGTTTAGTTTAACATAGTTATGTAGTTTTTAATTGTTGTGTGCCTTGACTGAATATATTGCTGATGTATCTTTAATATTTTGAAATAAGAATTGAGTAGTAAATTCCTAAGGGCTTATATATTCAAATATATTTTCAAAACATAGGTAAATCACTCTTCAAAATAGTAAATACTTGAAAATTGGACTTATGTTTATATCAGATAACATATTTAAGTATCATAGTTTACCCCATTAGCTTAAGATTAACTTAGGAAACACTAAGTGCTCACTGTGTGCTGGCCAATTTGAGGTCAAAATACAAGGACAAAAATCAGTAAAAATTCTGGCTCTTTAGATAAAAGGATACAATGGATCTTCGTAATTAACTTAGTTAAATTCATTATGTTTTTGTGAAGTATCCAGGCATAGGAGCACTATTTTTTAATAGCTGGTATTTCTGTATAGAAGTATTAATTTGTGTGAAAGTACTTACTTTAATTGATGAAATTAACATAATTTGATAAATGCAGTCATTATCAACATCTCTACCAAAAATATTAAGAAGTTACTAAAAAATTAAACACAATATGTACATGATATTAGGCAGATGGGTTCTTAGTCAGGTAAGGTGATTCATGCGTGTAATCCCAAAACTCTGTGAGGCTGAGATAAGAGAATTACAAATTCTGACCCTCCCTGGACATTTTAGCCAGATCCTGACTCAAAATTTAAAAAGGGCCTGCTGGAGCTGGGGGTTTAGCTCAGCGGCATAAGCGCCTACCTTGCAAGCGTGCAGTCGTGAGTTTGATCCCCGGTACCGATAAAAACCACAAAAAGACAAAAAAAAAAAAAGGGCCTAGTGTGGGGATGCATGTCTGTAATCCAAGCACTTGAGGGAAAGAGAGTGTCATGAGTTCAAGGCCAGACAGGGCTCTGTAGTAGGTTCCAGGCCATCCTGAATTATATTGTTTGGCTTTGTCTTTTGTTGTTTTGAACCTGTAATTGTGTGTGTGTGTGTGTGTGTACTGGGGATCAAACTCAAGACCTTGTGCTTGAGAAACATGCACTTACACCACTGAACTAAATCTCCAGCTCCATCCTGAACTATGTTGTAAGAAGCCCTGGGTTCAATCCCCAGTGCTGTAAACAGAAAGCACTATAGTTGATTAAAATTAAGTTTACATGACAGCATGTTTACCAATCGTGTCCCCTCTCATTTCTCAGATATAATTGAAAACCTAGCATACATACTGTTATAAAGCATCACTTTTGATAGGGAATAAAAATCATAGTACGTTGAAACTATGTATTCATGGTGGTATTTAGAATAATGTACTTGGCATTTTTCAGGATGAAGAACTGCTTTCCAGAGTTTAAAAAGATGGCTGATCATGATCAGGTAACGGTTGGTTCAACCTCCATTTACAGGACTATTTTGAGCTCATCAGGTGTAATGACAGTATGAAAGATAATGGTCATGAAATACACTGAAATCAAACATTTTGCTTTGCCTTTGGTAACTTAATTTTCATCTCTCAAGGTCCATATAAATATAGTGGTTTTTTCTTAGAAGCTTAAAAGTAGAGTAATAAATCCACTTTATTTATTTGACTTTCTTTCATTTAAATGATTCTAGATGACACTCGGATAACTTTTTTCTTGAACATTTATTTTTTTCCTAAGGCAGTCCTCTGACAGAATTTAAAAGTTCTCTGTATTTACTTGTATGTAGGTAGTTCTAACAGTTTGTTACTGTTCTTTTGTTATTGTTCTTGTCATGATGTTGTTGAACACTAATTTTACCTAATCTTACCTCTACTAACTTTAAATTGTGTCTTGGATTTTGGTTATATTTGGGCTTTTTGCTGTGCTAAGGACACAACTAGGGTCTTGCACATAGTAGGCAAGGATCTACCACAGAATCACACCCCTGGCTTTTACATCATGTATTGTTCTAATGTAACATAAGAAATATAACAAATTCCAAAATACTCCTGGATGAAGTATTGTCTTTTTATTAAAATTGCTAATGAACAGAGAGAAGGAAACAAACACTGTGATGTTGCTATCTTTTGCTTCACGTTTATATCTCAGTGTAGCCAAATTATAATATTTTTAAAAGCTGTTTATAGTTCTGCACATGTGCATTTATTGACATGATAAATTGTCCAAGGTAGTTACAGGGCATAATCTTATTTTTTAAAAAATACATCTTTATAGAAATAACCTAGAATGCTATAACCAAAGTTTAAGATGATTAATGGTAAACAGGATTAGAATATCATTTTTGTTGCTTGTCTTTGAATGTCTACATCTGTATTTCTTATGTCATCAAAATGGTAGATTAAAGTTTTTACAACTATGATATGTATCCAAACATCTGTTCTTATATTTTGTATGTGGCTCCCCTCTCAGGAGACTAAAACTACAGAAGAAATTGATGAAGCATTGAAGATTGCAGGCTATAATTTTGAACAATTAAGTATTGCTATAAAAGTAAGCATTTGAATGATTAAATTCTAATAATGAATTTTTAAAAGTTAAGCATTACCTATTTATTCATTTAGTCTTTTTTGGCACAGGGTTTCATTATACAGTTCAAACTGGTGTTCAACTCACAGCAACCCTGCCTTAGCCTCCTGAGTTCTGGGATTATAGACATGTGCTTGTCCTTTTTAAAGAATGGAAAACTCCTCCCTTCCCCTGCTGTGATTATAGCATTATAGCATTGTTGTGTTAGGAACCTAGTGAAATGGAGCTATTACTTATCCTTCCTCAGAGCATAATTTTGTCTCAAAAGCATTGCAGACCATCTTTCCAATGTTTGTCCATTGTTGGCTGTGTCTCCCAAGTGAGGTGTTTATTCTCTTTACTCCCTGCTCTACCTAGATAAAGATAAACTCTTTACTAACAAAGAGAAGAAGCTAAGAGCACCAGTCAACAATACATTTTTAATTAAGGAGTTCAGAGGTTATAGTTGCTTTTCTAAAGGAAGTACATTTTTGATTGGCCAGAAATCACTGTAATAAGTTAGCTTTCTCAAAAGGAATGAAAATTTGATAAAAGTAATAGCACAGAAGGAATACAAGAGAAGAAAGACATTTTGGAAAACAATATTTCCTGAGCTGAGAAATAGTTACAAGATAATTATCACATGTAGTGAGAGAAAATCTGTGACCAACTAAGGATAGTCTTCAGCGTTTGAGCCTGGGAGGGGTGGGGTACATTTTAACCCACACAGATGCTTCTGTAGTCTTATCTTTTTCAACATAAAATACATCCACCATATCTCAACATCCCTAAAATCATAAGATTCCATTCCAGTGTCATTTCTACATCCAGAATCTCATCTAGATCAGGTATAGGTAAAACTCAGAGTATACCTCCTCCTGGGCCAAATCCCTGTGCAACAGTGAGCTTGGAGAAGAGAGATATAGATTCTAAGCAACAGGATTTTGGGGGGTGAAGAACTTAAATTTTATTTTAAAAAGAAAAAACAGTAAAAACAATGATACAAAATTTCAGAACAAGATAGTTGCAGAGTGACTGGTTAATATGTTGTATATTGTTATTTTCAAAGTAGCTGCTCCTATTACGAGATAATAGGCATGAAAAATTGATCAAACACTATAACCACCTTTCTTTTCAGTAAACTAATAGAAATTAGTGGTGTAACTACCATCTACCATGTGTGTATATATTTTTTTCCTTTTCCCTTCCTTTTTTTCTCCTTTCCCCTCATCTCAGTTTCTCTTTTCTTTTAAACAGTTCTTCCTATTTCTCAATATCTATTTTTTTTCTCAATATCTATTGTATATTTTGGATCTTACTTACTCTGTCAGCTTCTCATACTAGGGAGACAATAGAATGCTTACACATGTGAGTCTGATTTATTTCACTTATGCGTATGGTCTCAAATTGCATCCATTTACCTATAAATGTCTCAGATTTATCCCTCTTTATAGCTGAGTAGTACTCAGTTGTATAAATACACCTTTTTTATCCATTCCTTGACTGATAGGCATCTGGGTTGTTTCCAAGATCTAGCTTTTACAAATTGTGCTGCTGTAAACATGGATGCACATACATTGTGGTATAATGTTTTTAATTGTTGTGGGAAAATACCCAGAAAGGGAATAGCTGGGTTGAATGGGACCTCTAGTCTTAGTTTTTTGAGGAATCTCCACACTGATTTCCACAGTGGTTGTACCAGTCTGCATTTCCACCAAAAATGAAGAAGAATTCTTTTTTTCCCTGCAGCCCATCAGCATTTGCTATGGCTTGATTTCTTGATAAAAGCCATTCTTTCTGGGATGAGATGGAATCTCAGTGTTCTTTTAATTTACATCTCTCGAATGCAGTGATATTGAATATTTTTTCACGTATATTTGCTATTTGTATTTCTTCATCTGTGAAGTATGTCTTCAAGTCAGATGCCCATTTTCAGATTGGGTCTTTGAACTTGGGAGTCTGATTTTTCTCAGTTGTTCATGTGTTTAGAAGTCCTTTGCCTGACAGACAGTTGACTAAAATTTTTTCCCAGCCTGGGTTTTCTTTTTACTCTCTTGGTGATTTCTTTTGATATGCAAAAGCATTTTAGTAAGATTCAATACCTAAGCGGCAGTTAAAACTGTTTAAAAATACAATGAAATATGTGAAATAGCTAACATTTTAATTTAGGTGGTTTCTAAGTTTATTAGTTTTACGTGTTTGCAATACATAATGTTTACATTCATAATGGAGATTTGGTACATGTATATAACACATTAATTCTTTTTAACCTTTTCCCCATCCTTTCTTCCCCTCTCCATGTCTTGGTCCCCTGCCTTAGATGCAACTATCCAAAATAATTTGTTCCCTGTATGACTAAAAAGAGACAAGAAAAGTTTAGGACCTGTGTGTGGTAGAGCAGGCCTATAATCCCAGCTGCTTGGGAGGCTGAGGCAAACAGATCGTTAATTTGACAGTATAGCAAGACCCCATCTCCAAAAACAAAATTTTTAAAAAGCAGAGTTTATCAGCAGTTTTAAAAGTCTTTTTGCCACATTATCAGTACAAAATGGCAGTAAAAATGTGGTCTTGGTTGATGAGTACCAGAATTAAAGTTGAACTTTGTAATTTTGCCTGTTTATTGTCATCTACCTCTTGTGTTGATATTTTGAAAAGTCTAGAAAATACCTTTTACTTTCAAAATTATATTGACAATACAACTTTTCTGAAGTAAAAATACTAAATTAGATCTTTGGATTGTCTTTCCAGATGCTTGAACACACCCAGCATCAAACAAAAGAGGAGACAGATGGTCTTATAAAGGTTGTGGAGAAACAATTTGATAAACTTTTTGCTTCTCTAGTTTCCAGGTAATAACTTTAATGATTCAATAAAACTGAAGTTTTTGACATTAATTGTCCTTATATTTCTTTGTTTAGATTAGTAGTCTCTACAGACTGATTTTTAGAACTTCAAACTGATAAACTTCTTTTTTCTTGTACTGAGAATTGACCCCAGGGCCTTTGTACTGAGCTACATCTCTAGCCTTTTAAAATTGTTTTGTAACTAACTTCTTACCTCAGCAGTTAGCTCAGAAAAATCTTTCAAAACCTAACTTATACTATAGAACTCAGCATACTTAGGAAAATACAACCAGAATTTAAGTAACTTTTTTCCTACATAGTTCTGTCATTTTCTCATATGCTTATTTGCATCAAAGCAGAAGGCTAACAGACATTACAAAATGAATAATATGGATAATTTCTTCCAAGCTCTTTGGTATGTATTATTTTTAATCAGATTCTATAGGTAACATCAGCATTCTTTCCATTATGATTTCATTTAGCAGCCTCATAAAATTTGTGACATGTTCAGAATAATATACTTAGTATCATCACTTATTCATTTGACTCTACAATCAGTAAATTAAGAAAAAAGTCTGTATGGTTCCTGCACATAGACCTGATCTATTCTGCATAAATTAGTTGTGTGAGTTTATTTGTGTAGCACTGGCAATCAAACCCAGGGTCTGATGCATGCTAGATAAGTGCTGTACTACTGAGCATCTTGTTGGTGCTGCACTACTCCAGCTTTTGGTTGGTATTATTTATTCTCACATTTTCTCTTAAGTTTTGACATTTACATTATAGGTCGTGTGCAGGAGTTTTGGGAGTATTATTTTACAAAAACATGCATAACACAAATTTTATTTTTTACCATTTTTCTTCTTTGAGAGATAATTATTTTTGCTCCTTTTTAACATTTTTAAACTGGTTAAAACCAGTTTTGTGGCAAATAGTAATTCTATGTGTAACTTTTTGAGGAACAGACAAACTATTTTCTATGGTGGCTGAATATACCATTTTGCTTTCCCATCAGAAATACATAAGAGTTCTGTTTTCTCTGTCTTCCCATAGACTTGATATTTTTGTTGGGTTTTGTTGTTATCTTCTAGTTTTTAGTAGTAGCCATCTTTATGGCTATGAAGTAGTTTCTCATTGTAGTTTTGTTCTGCATTTTCCTGATGATTAGTGATATTGATCATCTTTACTTGAGCTTATTTATTGGCCGTTGTATATCATCTTAAATCCATCATGCACTTGTGAACTGAATTTTTCTGTTGAGGTGTTAGGAGTTGTTCATGTATTCTGAATATTAAGCCTCATCCTTTGAGTTACCTTTTCACTCTTTTGATAGTGTCCTCCAATTTATAAAAGTTTCTAATTTTAGCTGGGCCTGCATTTCCAGAACTATGAGAGGCTGAGACAGGAGAATTGCAAGTTAAATTTAGCAATGTAATGAGTCTATCTCAAAATAAAAAATGGGCAGAGTATCTAGGGCAGTGAATATTTTGAAAAGACTGTCTTTTCCCCATAGAACGGTCTTGGCATCCTTGTCAAAAATCAGTTCACTTAAAAAAAAAAAAAAAAAAAAAGAGCTCCAACGGATATAACAGCAAGTGTGTTTAGGGGTGTTAAATAGCTGACTATATCAATGTTTTTGGATCATTGAACACAGCTGTTTGCAGTCTCCCTGTTGGAATGTCCACTTTGAATTCTTTGATACTGTGATTTGAGCAACTATTTTCAAGATGATAATATGTAATCTATTAACAGGTGATTTCTTACTGTTATGTTTTTTTTTTCTTTTTTTGTAGTTCTGTATTACGTGTACCCTTACACCGCTTTGTTTTGTTTTGTGTTTTTCTCTTTTTCCTCTTAAATAAAATAAAAAAAAAATCAGTTCACTTGTATATATAGAAGTTCAGTTCCTGGGCTGTTTTAGTACATTAATCTCTATATGTGTCTTGATGCCAGTACCACACTAATTTGATTACTATATGTTTATAGTAAGTTTTGAAATTAGAATGTGAGTCTTCCAACTTTGATCTTGTGTTTTGAGATTGTTTTGCTTATTTGGGGTCTCCCTTAAGATTCTCACAATTTTTAGGATAAGTTTTTCTATTTCTGCGAGAAATGTTACTGGGAATTTAAGAGTTGGGTTTATTTGTAGATCACTTCAAATGATATTGACATCTTAACAATATTGCCTTTAAGTTCATAAATATGAAATGCCTTTTCATTTATTTATAATTTTAGTTCATTTAAGCCATTTTGTATAGTTTTTGATATACAGATCTTTTGCCTTCTTGGTTAAGTGCATACTCAAGTATTTTGTTCTTTAAATTTTGATACACGATATTTATACATATTTATGAAGTACAGTTGATTTTTGGTTCATAAGTAGTGATCAACTCATAATTAGCATATTAAATTTTTGTAATTTCTTTTGCATATATACAGCCTTCTAGCTATTTTGAGATATGTAATGTGTTACTACTGTGCATAGAGTTTATTCCTCCTATCAGATAATAACATTGTACTGTTGAAGAACTTTTCACCTCTGTCCTTCCCCTATTTTCTGCAATCACTGTGCCCCACTATTCTTTTAACTTCTGTGAAATCAATATTTTTAGACTCTACTTTTGAGGGAAAGCATGTGGTACTTGTCTTTCTGTGGTTGATTTGTTTAACACAGCATCCTCCAGGGTCATCTGTGTTGTAACAAATGACAGGGTTTCATGCTTTGATGGCTGAATGATACTTGACTGTGTATACACAATGTGATCAAAATATACAGTGAATATTTTTTTAAAGTTTAAATACTCTATTATAGTAAGATTCACATTATTAACATTAATCTCCCTCAAAATACTCCCCCTTGCTTCCAGCATACTTACTCCAGTATCCTTATCACTTTCTGAAGCTGTTCTTGGAAGTCTTCTTGTGAGTATCTTTAAAATTCAGTGTAAAATTCAAAAGTATCTTCAACATTCAAAAACAGAGTGAATGCTGCTCCTGAGTGCCATCCAAAGAAAGGGAGGCTCATAAAAACATTATTCCTGGATCTGACACCATGCAATTTATGGCTGTTGTTCAAAGTCAAAACAACCAGGAAAGATAACTATTTTAAGTTGATTTAAGATAGCCATGGCAGCACAACTAAAGATACTCACAAAAGACGACTTCCAAAACAACTTCAAGAAGTGTTGGTATAAGTGTGGTCAAGGCAAGGGAGAAAATATTGAGGGAAATTAAGGGCAATGTGTTTTTAATAAGTTATGTTGCTTATGTTGCTGTGATATCAATACTTTTAGACTCTACTTTTGAGGGAGAGCATGTGGTACTTGTCTTTCTGTGGTTGATTTGTTTAACACAGTGTCCTCCAGGTTCATCTGTGTTGTAAAAAATGACAGGGTTTCATGCTTTGATGGCTGAATGATACTTGACTGTGTGTACACAATGTGATCAAAATATACAGTGAATATTTTGTAAACAATTAAAATTACCTGGTTAAGGTCACAAAATGTCCTCAGAGACGGTGCTGATTTTAATTCTTGACTCTTTTTCTTTATACATGTATTTCTTTTTGTTTGAGAGAGTCCCCCTATGTAAGGATGGTCTTAAACTTGCTATGTAGCCCTTGGTTGACCTCAAACTTAAAATCCTCCTGCCTTAGCTTCCCAAATGCTAGGATTATAGGTATGTAGCACCATTTGGGCATTTAGGGTTATTCCATATCCCTGTTGTTATGAATAGTACTGCAACAAACATGATAGTCTAGATGTCTTTTTGATATGTTGATTTCATTTCTTTTGTGTATATAAAACATTTTAATTCCTTTTTTCAATTACTTTCCCTTCTTTCTTTCCTTATCTTGATCTTCCACTTGAGAAAAGTTTATCTCTGTCTCCTATTATCTATTATTTTGATCATTTATGTTTTGGGCTTCTCATATAGAAAAAGTGTGGTATTTAAGCTTATGCATCTGAGTATTTCACTTAAAATTGTCGTCTCAGGGTACATCCATTTTTTACAGAGGACTCAAATTTGTCTTTCTTAGGGCTGGGGGTTTAGTTCTGCCTGGCAATTGCGAGGTTGTGAGTTAAATCCCCGGTACCAAAAAAAAAAAAGTTTGACTTTCTATACTATTTTTCATAATGGTATAATGGTTGAGCTAATTTATATTCTCACTAATAGTGCATAAGAGTTCTTTTTTCTCCTCATCCTCGCCAACACTTTTTTGATTTGTGGTTTTATTTTGTTTTGCTTTGTCTTTTGATAATAGCTATTCCCTGAGTAAGGTAATACTGTATCACATTGTGATTTTGATTTGCATTTCCTTTATGTTGAGTGATATAGAGCAGTTTTTCACAAATTTGTTGCCTATTTTTATGTCATTTTTTTGGAAAATTATCTATTCAGATCTTTAGTCCAGTTTTAAATTGGGTTTTCTTGCTTTTGATTTGGTAGGCTTCCCTTTAGTGTATTCTCGATAACAATCCTTGTCAGAGGTATTTTCACAAATAGTTTTTTCTCCCATTCTGTATATACTCTTTGTTCTGTTAATTATTTCCTTTGCTCTCAGAAACTTTTTAGTTTGATATAGTGCCATCTGTCAGCTTTTGTTCTTGTTGCCTGATTATTTTGTTGCCCAAAAAGTCCTATCCCAGACCACTGTCCTTTAGTATTTCCTTTGTCACCTAGTGAAATTGCCTTTTTAAATTCACACTTATAAATAAGGAGTAGTGGCATATGCCTATAATGCTGACACCCCAGGAGGCTGAGGCAGAAATATTGTGAGTTTGAGGACACTGTGGGAAACTTAGTGACTTAGCAAGATCTTACCTTAAAATTAAAAAAAAAAAAAAATTAAGTAGTCAAGGATTGGTGTGTTATCTTGGTATGAAGGCCCTGAGTTTAGTCCTCAGCACCACCACCCCCAAAATTCACCTTTACATAGATGTGCATGAAAACTATGAAATAACCTTTGTGTTTTAAATGAAGGAAAAAGAACTTATGTGAAGAACTTGTCAGAAATATGGATGATTATTTATCACATTTAATAATGGCCAAAAGCTATATTGAAGAGAAAAAAAAAGATTTGGATGCAGCTATGAAGATAGCAAAAGAATTAAAATCAGCACCATCTCTGAGGACATTTTGTGACCTTAACCAGGTAATTTTAATTGTTTACAATGTAAATAGGTTTAGGGGTATGTCTTCGTTACTTTTCTTTCACTGCTGAGACAAAATAACCCTGTGCCCAAAATTAAGAAACATTTATTTAGTTCACAATTTATGGAAGTTTCAGTCCATAATCAGCTGGCTGCAAAGCAGGGTTCATGGCAGCAGAGGACAGCAAAAGGGGGAAGAGCAAACCTCTTTTCCTCACTTATATTGCAAGTAAGCTACATTCCCCCCGGCAGGTATAGCATTCACATTATTTCCTCTTGGCTCTTCTTACACAGAATGAGGACGTTTACAAAGTGAGGCCCCTGACCCCTTGCTGAGTCCATAGTTAAACATCTAAGCTTTTCAAGTTGACACAATGTATCAACCTTTACATGACAGTTTAGTTTACATGTTTAGCAATATAGGGTTTTACATTATGCTAATATAGATACTCCTTAATTTAAATGGGGTTATGTCCCAATAAACCATTGTAAATTGAAAATGCATTTATATAATTAACCTACTGAAATATCATAGCTTAACAAGGTATAATTGTAGAGTAACAATTGTTTGTTCTTTTGATGTGTTATTTATTGTTTTGATCACAAGGTTGTCTGCCACTTGCTCAACATTGTAAGAGAAGATCAGACGACATATCACTATCCTAAGGAAAAGATCTAAATTCGAAGTCATTAATATTGTTTCCCCTAAATACATATTGCTGTCACACTATTAATAAAGTCAAAATGTCATAAATTGAACCATCATACAAGGACCATCTGTATTGGTATCCATTTAGGATTCTTAGGTATTTTGAATTCTAAGACAGTATTCAATTTCTTTAGCATTTTATTTTTTTATCACTTAGGAAAAGCCTTTATAACATTGTCTGAGAGCAAGTAAGATGGCATCGAAGTGAAAATTGAGGTTTGTGTTTGTCAGTTTTTCATTAGTACTGCAAATACCTGAGATGATCCATTTATAAAGAGAAAAAATTTATTTCAAAGCTCACAATTTTGAAGGTATTAGTCTATGATTGCACAGCTCCATTGCTTTTGGCCTATGGGGCCACATCATGTGGGAGTGTATGGCAGAGCAAAAGCACTTGCCTTATTGTCAGGTAATGAAAAGAGAGTGAAAGGGGCTAAAGTCGCACTGTCCCTTTTGAGGACATGGCCTCCCTTTCCTCCTAGATCCTACCTCTTAAAAGTTTCCTTTCCTCCCAGAACTGCCATAATGGAGGCCAAATCTTTATTACACAGACCTTTGGAGGATCCAGGGTTTCAAATTATTAGCAAGATTTTTTAGTGCACCTGAATAAAAAAATGAAGACACGTAAGAGGGAGAAACGAGCCTTTGTTTTGTCTCATGAATAATTTAGATATGGATGAATTCTTACCTTAAAATTTTATTTCAAGATGTCATTCATGTTTTGGTTTCCTTACCCATCCCTGAATATGCAAGTCAACAGAAGAATTGGTTCAACAATCTTCTGTCATCTAATCTTGTACCTACAGTATAGAATTGGGCAAAAATAGAATCTTTTGGGGTCATATTTACAATAGATAAGCAAATGGTTTGAACTGAATCAAAATGTGGAATAAAAGCCAGCGGTTGATCTGCTTCCACAATCTCTAATTTTTAAAATGAAAGCTGAAGAGTTTTCCACCATCTTACTTGGACTGGTCTTCCTTGACCACTAACTCTAAAAACAATAATGATCATTTCCTGTGTATTAAATGTGAGATACTAAGCAATGAAAAAAGTTACAAAATTTGACCTTGCCCTAGTTTGTTTCATCAGGAATGTGAAACATAAAAATTATTTGAAGGTAGCAGCCTAGATGCAAAATGAGTCAGATCAGAATTTTCTGTTATTATGTAGCTATATCTCATTTATTAGCTGGTATGTTGTTATCTGTTGATACATGTCTTCAGAAAAGTTTAAACTGCTTTAGAAAAAAAGGTTATAAACTATAAACTTCTTCACCCATTCCTTCAAGTGCCCAAAATTGAGCTTTTGAATATGTTAAGGAAATACCAAAAATAATTGTCTTTCTAAAGGCCGTGGCTGTACCTCATTAGCATAATAGCTGCCTTGCAAATACAAGGTCCTGAGTTCAATTTCTGGTACCAGAAAAAAATTTTTTCTTTCTAAAATTTTACCCTTTCAGCAATATTTGTGACAAAAGAAAATTAACACATTAGTAACACTTTTTTATTATAGATTATCCAGACTTTGAAGTTAACATTTGAGAGTGAATTGTCCCAAGTTAATTTTCTAAAGCCAAGGAACCCTCCCAGGTGAGTAAGTAATGGTTCAGGAGGTTATAACAAGTATAAAAATGTATTGGAGCCTAAATTTAGTAACTGAGCCAGCAGTTATGATTTGAAACTTTGGGTCAAAACTGTTTTCCAACTAAGCAGCCAACTTAAATGTGATTTATTATAAATTTGAAAGTTATTTAATGTTTTCATTTAAATTAGTTATTTTAATGTCAACTAATTTCTGTTTAAAAATGGTAATAATAATAATCTGAGAATGTTTTATGTGCTGATTTTTTATTTTAGGTTGAATATGAATTGCAATGAGATTATCTGTATGTTAAGCAATATGGGAAAGATTGAATTTGAAGATTCAACAAAGTAAGTATAATCATGGCAACATGCCATTACTATCTGACAGCACCTCTAAGAGAAAAATTGATGTTTAAGTGTAGTATGATTCAAAAGTTGAAAATCAAGCATGGCATGGTGGTGCCGGCCAGTAGTCTCAGAAATCTGTGAGGCTGAAAGAGGAAGACCACAAGTTTGGGTCCAAACTGAGCAACTTTGTGAAACCCTGTCTCAAAAGGTCTGGATATATAAACCAGGCATGTTGACACATGCCTGTAATCCCATCATTTGAAAGCTGCTGTAGAAAGACCACTGTGAGTTCAAGAAGAGCCTGAACTACTTAGTGTGATCCTATCTCAATAAAACCAGAAAGAAAAAAAATCTGGGGATGTAACTTGTGTTAAACCCCTGGGTTCAATTGAAACAAACAGAAAAACAGGACAAAGAAAGAGCCCTAATTCCTACAGTTAATTTCTATAAATGATATTTTTTTAAAAACCTAGAAGGGATCAATAATATGTGTTGAAGGTTGTATTTGAGATTCACTGTGTCAGCAAGCATTGAACACTAATTGTTGTGCTTAGTAATGTCTTAGATACTAGATAAATGTCAAATTACTAGTGAGACATAGGTGAAAGATTAAATGTGTAACTATGGTAGTATATGCAGAAGTCAATAATACAAAGGAAAAAGGGACTCATTAGTTTTGGGAGTAACTGAAAAAAATATTTTATTTCCCCTCTCCACAAAACATGAGTGACAGGTGGAAAGCAGGATAAAATGGAATTGAGCATCTCAGAAATAAATATAGGCAATGACATAGCATGCTGCATTCAGAGAATGGCATACACAGTTGCATCCTGTATATCTCCATAAATACACAGAAGCTCAGTTTTAGGAACTTTGAGTGCTATGTAGTGGTTAGTTAAGACTAAATAAAATTATATATTCAGTTCCTTGGCCACATAGCCAGATTTCATGTGCTCAGAAAATATATGGCTAATGGCTACCTGTCTTAATCCATTTATGCTACTGTAACAAAATACTTGAGAGTATGTAATTTATAATGTACATAGGAATTTATTTTCTCACAGTTCTTGAAGCTTATGAATTCAAGGTCCAGAAACTGGTGGTAGGTTTGGTGTCTGGTGAGATCACTAGTCTCTGTTTCTAAGATAGCACCTTGAATGTTATGACTTCATGAAACACAAGGGATAGAAGGGCAAAAAGGGAATAAACACTAAGTCCTCACATGGTGGAAGTACAAAACAAAAACCCAAACTAATTCCCTCTGGCCCATTTATAAGGTGCAACTCCATTCACAAAGGTGAGCCCTTAAAACAGTCATTTCTCAAAACACACTGCCTCTTAGTATCACCATGGTGAGGATTAAGTTTCAACCTGAATTTTGAAGCTAACAAACCATAGCTCAACCATATTAGGCAATACAGCATGTTTTCAGTTAATGCAAGTTCTTTCAGCACGGAAAACCTCTAAAAGATTTTAAGCATGAGAGTAAAAATAATTAGATTATATTTTGAAAGATAACTGGCCATTTAAAGGATCATTTGGGGGATTGTGACAGTGGATTAGGCATTTATATCAGACTCAGCAAATGATGACAATCTAAATTTAAGTTGTATCAAAGGATTGAGATTGAGAATACATGTAAAAATGCTAAGTAGGGAAAATTAAAATTTGCTAATGCTTGAGGGATAAGGGACAAGGGAAGTATCCTTAATGGTTCATATGTGTGGTCTTGGTGATTAAATTGATTGATAGTTTTTCATCAATAATATGAATATAAGAAGAAAAATAAGTTGAAGCCAGGTGTGGCAGTGCACAACTGTAATTGCAGCACTCAGGAGGCTGAGGCAGGAGGATTGCTACAAGTTCAAGACCAACCTGGAGGGGGGCAGCTAAAGATGGCGGATCAGTAAGCAGCAAAATACAGAGCCTCCCTAAGAGAAAGCTCAGATGCCATAATAAAACATCCTGGAGAAGAGCTGGTGAAGGGAAATGGATTATCTCGATCCAGGAAAAAACTAAAGGGAAAGGAGCCGGTCAAACTCATGGTCACAGCGCTATCATCAGAGCCGCTCAGATACACGGTCATCGTGCTCTTGCTGGAGCTGCCCAGACTCATGGTCACAGCACACTCGCTGCCAGAGCCACAATTGCGCTGAAGTCCAGTCAGTGAGCCCAACAGAGAACAGAGCTGGCGTGGAGACCTGCACTAACCCACAGTGAGTGCTCAGAATAAGCCCCTCTTGTGGGAAAGGGGCAACCAACTGGACAGCAGTTGGAATTGGGCAGGACAGGCATGAACAGGGAATGGCAGTGACTTCAGTTGGTTGCTCCCTGCTCAGAGCAGATTGGTGGGATCTGCTGGGGCTGGGTCATACCCCTAGCTGGGACCCGATAAACACGGATGAAATCATCCCCAAAGTTGTCGAGAACCGATTCCATAGGCATGGCACACACTAATGTGAAGATTCCCGCCAGTTGACTGGCTCGGAGGGGAGGGGACAGCATACACTGCCCCTGCTTGCACCTTAGTGAAAAACAGCAAATGAGAGGGCAGAAAGCCCTAGCCAGCGCACTTCAGAAGAACCATAACCAACAAGGAAAGGGGCTAGAACCTCCACTATACATCTGTATGGAAGAAATCAAAAACATGACAAGAGAAAGCAATAAGAAAAAGCCCCCAGCCCCCAATCCAATGAATATTGATCCAGGACAGGTAAATACAGAAGAGATTGAGAACAGAAAACATGTAATATCAGAATAATATCAGCTGACATAAAAGGATGTCTTCATGACCTCATAGACGAGATCCAAATTGAAATATTCAAATAAAGCAAGATATAAGGTTAATAAAAGAAATGCTAAGCACCTCTCAAGAAGTCACATATGGAAGAATGGAGGAACACAAAAAAAAAAAGAGAGAAATGTTTGATGAAGAATATAAAGAAAACCTGGAATACATGAAGCAGGTTGAAAGAGATATCCAGGAAGTTTAAAATTCCATCAAAAGCTGGAAAAATTGCCTAACAGAAACTAGAGATAGATTAACAAAACTTGAAGATAGGTTTGCAATGTGTGATCGTGAAAGGAAAGATCTCTTAAAAATAACAAGGAACCAGGAAGTAACCAGGCTAGAAGACAACAAGAGGATCTATAACTTAAAGAGTAAAAAACGTGAGTGAAAAAGCAGGGGTAAACACAAAGGAAATACAAAGGTTATTCACTGAAATAATTAAGAAAAACTTCCCAAGAATAGGAAAAGGAAATGACATTCAGATGTATGAGGCGCAGAACTCCAGCCACCTACAGCCAAAACAGAGCTACACCCAGACATGATAATCAAGATCCCAGAAATTCATCACAAGAACAGAATATTAAAAACCATCACAGAAAAGAAATAGATCACCTATAAAGGAAAACCCATCAAAATCACGACAGACTTCTCAAAACAAATCATCAAATCAAGAAGAGCTTGGAGTGAAATATTCCAAGATCTGAAAGAAAATAACCTCCAACTCAGATTGATGTACCCTGAAAAACTGTCTTTCAAAATCAATGGAGAGGGGCTGGGGATTTAGCTCAGTGGCATAAGTGCCCACCTTGAAAGCAGGCAGTCATGAGTTCGATCCCCAGCACTGATAAAAAGGAAAAAGACAAAAAAAAAAAAAAAAAAACAATGGAGAAACAAGATGCTTCTATGACAAAGAGGAACTAGGAGAATTTGTGACCACCAATCCAAACCTACAAAAAATACTGAAGGACATTCTAGAGAGAGAAAAAAATACAGGATTTCAGGATCAGTGGCAGAGAGGCCTCAATGAATGGGACAGACAGTGGAATTAAGGAGAAAAGTAGACAACCAATGGCAGAAAAATAGCATAGCAGAGAGAGAGATAGAGAAGTTTGACTATAATCTCTAACATAGATGGCCTTGATACACTAACAAAAAGAAACACAGGCAGAGTAGACCAGGAGATAGAATCCCTCAAGATGCTCTTTATAGGAAGTACAATTAACCTGAAAGAGGGTTTATAGACCAAAAGTCAAATATAAGAAAACAGTGCTCTATGTGACAGGGAGCCAGAGAGAAATAGAGGCAAATCGACCAGCACCTGCAGATAGGTTAGAAAGACATCATACATTTGTGCAATGGAGAACTACTCAGCTATAACGAAGGAAACCCTTGAGGCTTTTGTAGGTAAAGGAATACAACTTGAGATCAAGCCCAGGAGGGAGAAGGTTTGGAACCCACTTAGGTAAATAGCCGGTTGCCACCCCCCACATCTAAAAACTGAGGGAGTTTGTGGGACCCAAAATGTGCAGTGCACCCTGTGGGGGTGAAAGAGGAGGAATAGTCTAAAAAAAGAAGGCAGAGGATATTGTTAGTGTATCAGGATTTGAAACCCACATTACTCACATCGCTTTATTCAGATGGATTATATTCTGTTCCAATTTGTCTACTTGTACTAGATTTGAAGGCACAAACAGCTATCCCGAAAATAGCAGGATATATTATGGTAATCATCCTTAATTTCCTATTAACTTAATCTGAAGCCCTGTATAACTTACATTGTCTTATGACTGACCTTATTTGAATCTGGTTTGTTAGACTGCTGTTTTGTATTGACAGATTTTATCTAAATCTGTTATGATTGATAGTGTCAAGTCTGAGAGTACAGGCAACTACATTGAAAATGACAAGATTCACTAGGATGCCCACTCTGGTCTGATTATTACCTACTTTTGAAGTCTTATAATGTCTCCAATGTTTTGTTTTTATTAATATTGTTATGTACTGCTATTTTTAATTATACTATGCCTGATGATATAGACAATTCTATTGAAGCTAACAAGAGACATCATAATAACCACTGCAGGTCACCTTGTAATGCAGTTTTATATGACTTTTTCATTTCATATTTTTCTAGGAATTTGTTTTGTTTTGTTTTGTTTTTCCCTCTAATACAGAAAGGATTAGATACACATGTAGAGACTTGTGCATGCATAGAACTTATAAACAGCTTATGAGAACTGATTATATAACACGTGATGAAATGAATAACTACATTGAAGAAAAAGAGACACTACAGTACCCAGTGCTGATTTCGTAGTGTCAAAATATGAAATACAGAAATACTATTATTCTTTGTTCAGAGTGATTTTAGTCTGTTTTCTTTTGTTTAATTTCAACATATGTGAAGGTAGGGACAGCTATATTGAAGAGAATAAGAGACATTATGACAGCCATTGTTGACTTCCTTATTGTCTGGTCTTGAAGAACTAAAATGCCTTCATCACCCTGTTTCGATCAGTTTTATACTGTGTTTGTTTTGTATGAATTCATTGTATGTGAAAATATGGAAAACTATTTGGAAGAAAACAAGAGACAATATGATAAATAGTGAAGATCTCTAGTTGTCTTGCTTTGAAATCTGTCTCTTACATTGCTTTCTTCTGTTTTGTTGTGTTTAATTTTACCCTTTTTAAAATAAAATTTTAAAAAAGACCAACCTGGACTACATAGTTAGTTCAAGGCCAGCCTGAAATACATCATGAGACCCTGTCTACAAACAAAAAGAAAAGAAAGTTGAGAAGGGTATAGAATGAATACATTGATGTCTTATAATTTATTGGCCATCCAAGGTAAAAGGTCTGCAAGTCACTTGGGTGTATGTTCTAAAATCCAAGAGATCTTGAACTGATTCTGAATTTAGAAGTAGTCAGAATACAAGTGTTATAGAAACTCCCCAAAAGGAAACAAGTTCATGCTTATGATTTGATCCCTAAATGTATTACATTTATTACCTTAGGGAACAATGCAGCACACAGTTATGGAGGCTAGAGATATGAGCATATCCGCTCCAAATCTGATAAAATCGTATAGGCCAGTTTCACAAAAGTAATAATAGTCAAAATGCTAGCTGATTAACTTAGTGGACAAATGTAATTGCCAACAGGAAGTAGAATATTAATATTAGCATTTTTTCCTAACACTCAGACAGAAGTGAGAAGCCAGATTATTAAAAATTGCAGTTTTGCAATCTTACATGGAATAAAGGGATACAGTATTAGACTGAGACTGGTATATTACTGTATATATCCCTGAATCAGAACACCAGTCCTTTAGTCCAAGTCATCTTCCCGCACACAATGCTTGGGAAAACCCTCCCCACATTTGCCTTTGCAGCTAGAATTTTGGGTTCTCTTAGATAATAAGCAACTTTTACAGTAAATATGTTATTTTAGGCTGGGGATTTAACTCAGTGGCATAAGTGCCTTCCTGGCAAGTGCAAGGTCATGAGTTCAATCCCCAGTACCAAAAAAAGTTATTATTTTCATAACTCGACTTTGGTTGCTGTCAGATAAGCTTATGTATTAGGGTTTACTAGAGAAACAGAAATAACACAAGATATACAAAATATAAGAAATTACAAGATTGGCTTACAATGGTCAGCCACAAAGTCAGAGGAGGGAGCATGCAGAGGGTGTCTGAACGCTGGAGGATGAAAGGTCCAGCCCAAGGACTGGAGTTTACTACAGTGTCCCGTGCAAGTCTGTGTCAGAAGGGCAATAACAATGTTAACACTGAAGAATCTATGATGGAAGGCTGAAGAGTCCCAGGCAGAAGCCAGTCTGTGCCAGAAGCCAGGAGACTGAAAGTGAAGACTGGAGCTCCTCCAAAGAACCAGTCCTCAGTGCCTCCTCATTTACCTTTTATTGTATGTAAGCTACTCTCCTGGGGTGGGTGTAGCACTCATACTATCTGCCTGCCCTCCTCTTGCACAGGCTGAGTGTGTTATAAACTAGGAATCCTAGCTCCCAGGGGCTCAATCACTTAAAGTTCTGACCTTCTCAAAGTGACACAATGAACAATATCTTAGAAGGGTAACTGCTGCTTGTCCTCTACACCCCAAGATGTAGAGCTGCTGAGTCACTCAGTTTCTAGACTTCTTAAATTGACACAATGTATAATCTGTCCTGATTTTGTTACTGATTTTTAACTGACAATATTGGCTTAAAATTGTTTCCTAGTTTTCAAAGAAAAAGTATCAGGATAACCCACCTCACCTGTTTGCAGGTGGTCAACCATGGGTTTCTTTAGTAAAAGCAAATGTTGAAATAAGTCAAAAGACAGTACCCTGGAACAATACTGATGTTTAAAGCAGTGAAAACAGTGACTCCTACAAAAAAACAAACAGAGGGAATATGAGTGGTAAAGCTTTGTGTCTGGATGTCCCTCCAAAGCCTCAAGTAGGCATCGGGGCAGAGTTTTCAGAGGTGTCTGAATCTAGAATATGCAATGCTGAGATTAAGGATTCTGGTGCAACAGCCAGCAGAAACACAGATACAGCACTTAGAATTTGGAAATACTGAATTTAGGTGGCATTGTTCCTTAATTCTAAAATGCTTTTAAACAGTATTCTTTGAAGATGCCAGATCCATCGTGCATTAAATAAACTACAAGCATCATCAGATTCAACTCATTTAATTGTAAAATTGTAGACTAGATAGCATAAAACTGAATATGTGAAGATGGGAAAATATAGTTAGCTTAGCTGTTTAATAACCACACCCATTGGATGCAGATTAATAGCAATTTTGACTTTATACTTATAGTACATTGCCAAGTAATAGAGTATAGCACTTGGTAGTCAATTTACTGTAATAAATTCAATGATAGCAATAAAAAACTAAAAATATGGGGCACCTAGATGGCTTTTACCTTTTGCATGTGTCACAATGTCAGCTGTCAGATTTAGAGGAAATGACTTGAAGGAGAGTATTAAAATAGCCATGCTCTGTATTTTTAAACAGATATTATTCCCAAGAAAATGAGGCTGGACATAATGTTCAAAAGAAGAATAATAGTAGAAAAGAACTTTCATGTGATACATACTCATCCCTGGAAAAGAAACAGGTTGATTTGTCTGTCCTGACCAGTGAAACACCAGCACCTCCTTTGCAACTAGAGACCAGTGACATACAAGCCGAAGGGAAAAACAGCCAGCCACCCAAGGAGGTGGTGACAGTGACATCCCCTAAAACCATTGCTGTGCTGCCTCAGATGGGGTTGAGCCCTGATGTGATAATTGAAGAAATTATTGAAGAAAACCTGGAATGTGAGTGATAATATAAAATATATATTATATAATTAGAAACAATTGGAATTTTTAATCTATAGCTAGAAAAATTATTTCATGTACTTAACAGAAATTTATTGCTCTTATAATCTTATCTCTCATGCTCATTATGGGGTAGAGTCTGTTGATTCCATGCTTTTATTTCCACATTTTCCAAAGTTAAGATAATTTTAATTTTGATGAAATAATATAGCCAACCTCTAGAGGAGTATAAACTTAATATTTAGTTTAATTAGGGTATTTGATTTTTTTTCAGTGTTCCTAATCACTTACAAATAATGTAAATGAGAGAGGTGTGACTTGTGGGAGCAGTTTTATTACTTTGTCAATTAAGAACAGTTTCTCAGGGATGAGGATATAGCTTAGTGGCACAATGCCTGCCTGGCAAGCATGAGGTCCTGAGTTCAAGTCCTGATACCAAAAATAAAAAAGGAACAGTTTCTGTTATATCTTTGTGATTTTAAACTTAATATGCTTTGAAATCATTATGAATGTCATGTCATCTATTTTATTATATTTAAATTTATAACTGTTGATTAGATTCCAGTTTTGGTATTCTGCCAATAACATGGGAGTGAAAAATTACTTTTAAGTAATTCTATGCCAGCAATCTTTAGAACCATTTTTACCAACATTGTTTTGATGATTGACTCTCCAGAATGATACTTTTGAATTTTGATACACTCTGTTTTCCACTATGTTAGTATCACTGATATTTCAGTGACATAGCTTGTTGTGATTTTACTTAATAATGCAAAACATTTGCCATTCCAGTGTTTTTGCCAATTCAGACACAATTTTTAAACACTGAAATGTTGCTGTACACATTAATGAAAGTAATACAGCTTTTATTTGTTACTTTGATAAAGCATGCTTCACAGATGATCTTATAGAGACTCCTAGCCATTGAAAAAAAAACTCCTCAGGTCAGGAATTTAGCTCAGCGGTTTAAGTACTTGCCTGGTAAGCCCAAGGTTGTGAGTTTGATCGTTGATACCAAAAAAAACAAAACAAAACAAAAAAGACCTCTTCCAAAGGAATTAGCTCTTTCTTTCAAATCAAAAGCAAGTACTGTAACAACAATGAGCTTGATAAAGCAGAGTTTGTTTTATGTATAATAATTTACCTGTGTAAGGCAATAAACAAAAATCAATCTTACTAAAACTTCCCTTTTAGTGGAATCCTCTTCTGCCCTACCCATACTGGGGATTGAACCTGGGGCCTGCATAGTCACTATATCCCAAGCACTTTTATTTTAAGACAGGGCCTCGCTAAGTTATCAAGGCTGGGCTTGAACTTATGATCCTCCTGCCATTGATCTCCCATAATACTGAGATGATGGGCACTCACCATAACTTCCAGCGTAGTGGCAAAAAATGTAATGCTTGTTGGCAAAATTATTTCTGAAACATACTTCTTGCAGCTATCACCCCAGTTACACATATTTATGTTTTTACTGTATTATTGGAACTGCAGTGTGTTACAGTCTCCTTCCTGGGTTATAGAACATGGCAGTAAAGGAAAGAACGAGCAAGAGACAAAAGTAGAGAGGCATAGCAGGGATCTGGGATGATCAGTTGCTCCCTAGGAACCAAAGGCCACCAGTCACCCAGAACCTTGGTGTTTATTCACTGAGGAAAATGGTGAGGAGATTACAAGTGGATGTGGTAGACAAGTGGCAAGGCTGGCTTGTAACAGAGGAAACAGAGGAAAGCTTTCTTGCTGAAGGGACAGGAATAGCCAGATTTAGGTTATGGTTATGAGTAACCTGCTTTATAGCCAATTTTGGTAAGGAATTTTCCTCAGAGTCACATAGCCCTCCAAGGAGACCTTATCTGTATCTTACTGGATGGTATCACAGCTGGTCTATTTGAGTTCAACAGTAGCTATTGAAAATAAGCTATAATAGTCCATTATCAGCCTTGTCCAGACTCACTAGTTAAACTGCAAGCCAGTTTAGGGAAGTCTCCTCTACATGGTCGGTACTGGTTGTAAGTAGACACCATCAACACCGGCACACCAGGGTCTGGGGAGGGTGAGGTGGCACCCTCCATACCTTATCCTCAATATGGGTATTATTTTTTGTAATATGTTAAATAGATAAAACAATCGGTACATTTGTTTAGTTTCTATCATGTTTCTACACTTGACTGTATTCAATTCCACACCATCTAGTCATTATTCAAGAATTAGGTGTAAGTTTGCTTAAAAAATTAAAATACTCTGAAACTTCACCCTACCCTAGTCCCATTCTCTTCAGTCCTTTCTTTCTTTGTAATTTTTTACGCATGCACAAATAAACACACAAAAACTATTTTTCTACCTTAGTTTTATTTTCATTTCGTCTCTTTTTTTAAATACAAAGCACAGCATACTATGTCACCAGGCTAGGACTGAGAGTGTCTGAGCCTGAAATAAGGAGTTTAACTCACCTTTTAAAAAATAGGTTTGTAGGGGCTGGGGATTTAGCTCAGCGGCATAAGCGCCTACCTTGCAAGCAGGCAGTCGTGAGTTCAATCCCTGGTACCGATAAAAACGAAAAAGACAAAAAAAAAAAAAAATAGGTTTGTAGGTTTGCTGACTGTCATCCTGGAAAAAGAATTTTTAGGATGCTTCAGTAAAGGAAACATGAGAAGGATTTATTAGAAGTAGATATAGGATGCATTTGAGCAGAATGTGAGTGCTCAAAGAAATATGGCACACTATAAGCCAGTGTAGGGCACCTTTTAAGGCTGTCTTCAAGATGAGTGGTGTAAAACATGTATTCCCACTGTCTGCTAGGTTGCAGTGCAAGCCAGTTAAGACAAATCTCCAAAGCAGCTGCTTTCTGAGCTAGAAAAAAAATGGCAATTTACAGTTAAAGGGATCTAGTACCCAGTTATTGTAAAGGGCCTTTAGGAATTTAACATTATTCTCTATAAAGACAAAAGAGAGATCACATACTAAAGAGGCTTCTAAAAACAAGAAAAATCTTGTCTTAAATCTGTAGTTTGTTTTAAAATTACAGGTGTAAAATCTTGATTCTTTTTTCTAGTCTTTTTTTTTTTTTTTACCTAGTTTATTTTTGTCCTTCCTTAACATTATACTTTGGAGGTCTTTTTGTTATCAGTTGACATACTTGATTTAGTTACTCCTGTATGTAGAAAATTCCCTGACTTTTACCTGTTTTTGATCCACCTCTCCCAGACACTCACATTTCCCTAAATGCTACTGAACACTTTGACTTTGCCCAAATACTTTTGCACGCCTCTCTAACCAGATTGATAAGACTTAGATGTAGGGTAGATATAAGCTATCTTGGTTCTCTAGATACTGTATAGATTGGCTTTTATGGGCTGTCCTAGAAATCTAAAAAGAACCCTAGAAATAGGGTTCTTCTAACTTGCTGCTCAGGCCCATTGCTCCCAGGAAATGTGAGAGGCAGTTTTGTTGAAAGGAAAAAACTGACTCTGAATGCAACAAAAAAAGGCCTTTGTCTTAAGTCTTTGCTTCACCTTGTTCAGATGAATAAGAAATTTTTTTAGGAAAGAGACAATGGACAGGAAATTTTTGTGCTATTTCATTCCCCAGCCATTTTGGGGCTCCTCCTCTGCTTAATGGAAAGAAAACAGACCTTGATATCACAGCCCAGAATGTACATATTCCCCTCAGACTGATAGTTTTCTGACAGAGGCACTAGTTTCTCTGCTAATTGATCTGAGCCAAAAAGAGAACATAATAGCTGTTAGCATGAGTACATTGAGAAATAGTAGCATATCTGTAAAAGAAAAAAATCATAAATTTTAACCACTTACCAGTTACATTATTTAAATACAGGATGAGCAAAAATTGCATATTTTGTTAATTTTATAACAAATATGACAGGAAATATTTTAAAATGGCAGTGTTGTCAAATTTATTTAATGCAAGAATCAACTATTTGAAATGTCACCTAAGCAATGCTCAGGATAGTCAGTACACAAATGCATTGCCCAGGTGATACTTGTGGTAAACTGTTACGTGTTTAAAGATCCACTTTACCCTTTTGTTTATATTCTTGAGTTCCACATATGTTCATAAATGTATTCTGAAGTTTCCTAATAAGGGGAGGTTATAGCATATATTATGACTTTACAATCTATTTACCACATGAGCTATGATTCTATTTAGAGAATATACTTTGCAAGTTAGACAACGTATTTACAATTCAGGTTGCTAAAGAATGTGTTGTTAAAGGTACTCTATTTGTTTTGCCAGACATTTTTGGTTTGGACTCTCTCATGAGACCTAATACTTCATAATAGTTTCAATGTTACATTTGCTTGTTATTTTACAGGATATTACAGTTAATTACCTTTTATGAATTCTTTCCTAGCTCACATTTGATAATAGTGTTTTAATATTGGTTCTTACCCAGGTTCCCCAGAGTTGGTTTTTGTAAGCCATGTAATACATCCTTGCCACTTCTACATTCGGAAATATTCACAAGTGACAGATACAACAATATTGGAGAAGAAAGTGAATCAAATTTGCAGTAAGAGTTTACATCTTGATCCTTCAGATGTCTTGGAACTAGGTAATAAAACACTAATTCAAGTTAAAATATCAGAGTTATTTAAATATCTTAATATTTGGCAACAAATAGACTGGCTATAATTTAGATTTTTACTTTAAGCATAAAATTTTAGAATCATTTAACATAAATTATTTAGGTGAATTAGCTAAGGACTAAAATGGAATGCTAGCACATTTTTAGAGTAAAACTGACAGGTTATGTCAGTTTCTTACTTGTCTGTAAAGTAATTGTGTGTGACTCTTGGCCCTTACATTTTATGTTATGTTTTGGGTCTAATTTTGGTGAGATTCAAGAGACCCATGACACTCATTCCTAGGTTTTCTTGGAGGAGGTTAGTTAGGAAATATACTCTGTTTTAATTCTAAAACTATATGAATTTGCCATGCTTTAGACTTCTGTTAAGTGTTTTCCTAATGACACAACTGATTTATTATACTTTGGATTGGTGCTAAAGCTGTGATTTCTTTGATTTATTACAGGAATGTTTTCCTCAATGTGTAATACCAAAAAAGTATTATTTGCGTAGTCAGGTGATAGTTCTTTAAAAGGGTGATTAACTCTCAGCTTTTTTTATATAGATTTTCAGAATACCAGAACACTAAGATCATCATGTACTTCTTCAAAAATATTTAAACTTAAGAAATAACCTTTTAATTTTTAGTGCCTAGGGGCTGGGGATTTAGCTCAGCGGCATAAGCACCTGCCTTGCAAGCAGGCAGTCGTGAGTTCAATCCCCGGTACCAATAAAAAGGAAAAAGACAAAAAAAAAATTTTTAGTGTCTAAAAGGAGGGAAATATAATATTAAACTTAACTTTTATAGTTGTGTCACCAAACATTATCCAAGGGGCTTCCTGAATCGGAGATAACCTAAACCTATTCTACCTGTAAAATAAGTTACAGGTTCCCTGACTGCTGTCACAAGAAAAAAAAAATTATCAGAACTAATCAATAAGAGGCATGAAAGGTTTTATTAGAATTTGACATTGTGTTAATTTGTGAACATAAATTTTGTAATGCAGTAGAGTTGTCAATATTGGTTTAATAGGTGAACATCATCTTGACTATGAAATGGAGAAGTTGAGAAGATACAAATGTTATAAGCATGATAAGGGGCAGAAAAAATTAAAAATCAAGTGGTAAATTATTTTTAATATTAACTTCTATATATTTAGATGTTTACTACAAGAGGGAAAGGATAAGAGTGTATGGCTTCCTGTAGGACTGAGAAAAATTTTAATGATAATTCAAAAAATATATTAAAGATATCTATGGTTTTATGTAACCACTGGGCGATTAAAATTTTTATTTTTTATGGGTCTGCCCTCTATTGTGTAGACCTGAAGATCTTTTGTAGTGAGTGGTTCCAGATAATATAAAGTCTGAAGTAGATAATAGAAAATTAGTTTATACTACAAAAATGAGAAGCTAGAATATTTTTATTGCCATTTTTATTTTATTGATATACTTCTAAACCTAAATCTTTATGTGACGGGTACTTGAAAGTACATTAAAATAAAATAATGACAGTATACTAAGAAAGGCTAAAGGATACATTTTCGGAAGAGGTAGTGGTATTGGGAATCATGATGTTTTATGGCTAAGTTAAGATGTTACAAGTATAATTGAAGATTGTTAGTAGCAGGATGGTGCGATGTTTGGAGCCCCTATCTATATCTAGTCTAAGTTTTTGTTTAATGTTACTGTACTCTAATAGGGTTTTTGTTAAATTTGCCTATTGGTTAAGACCAAGTCAAAGACTTGTGTCATTAAAATTTATTTATCTGTCAAGATCAGTTAAAGTTCCTCAGGAACTACTTTTGAGGTCTTGTGAGAAATCTTTTAGCTCTTCTAGTTTTTACTTCACTAGTTGTGTCATTTACTAGTATGGGTCACAGTCTTGCTTGACCATACAGCTGTTTTTAAAAGCATAGAAATATTTCCTCTTTAGCTTCCCTCTCCAGAAGAGTGCTGTACATGTAAAAAGACACTAGCAGGAGTAGAACAGGTATCTCTAGGATCCAAGATCATCATGGCGGATCATCATGGCCAGCTGCTGAAAGAGGGGTCCTATGGCCCTGACAGTACACATCTTTAAGGTGTAGCTCAGTGTATGATGATCACCAGTCCTCTCCCCAACTCAGCCTAAAGTTGCTAGCTAAGTAGGAAGAGAGAGAAATGGCTGAGCTCTGGCCAGTCCTTCCAGATCACCAAGTTCCTACCTGTCCCTCTCAGTGCATCAGCAGAAATCATGGGGAGCATACACATCTCCTTTCTCCTTCCCCACATGGTACTGGTGGCCAGAGAAGGGAGGAGACCACCAGGAATTTGGATCTTTGTCAGCCCAACAGTGGGCACTGTTTACTTTCCTCCTTGTGGACACTTTGGGAGGGAACCTCTCTCTCAGGAAGAAGCAGAGTAACTGTCCTCCAGAGCCATGAGAAAAACTTGGAGCTCCCTAGTCTCCACTGATCTTCCTCTACCCTTTGGCTCTCTGCTTCTCCTTGCTGATATATATCAGATCTTCCCCAATGTATGATATCCTTTTGTGATAAGTTGAAGTGGAGGAGGTGTGGGAAGATAATTTAAAAGTTAATGATTACGTAAAGGGGACATTGTGTATCTAGTGTAATAATACAATGATGCTAAAATGAGAATGCACATACATGTGTGTATATAGATGTGTGTGTTTTATATATCATGGAAGTGTCCTCAAATGGCTGGCCCTTATCTTGGTAGATAATCTATAGTCTTAGCCTTGTCTTCATGACCCCCTAAGGGAATCAGTGCAGAAAATGAGACCACATCAAAAACTGACTGGAGAAAGTCACAATGGTCAGATTTACGTCTTTCCCTAAAGAAGTATGAGATTATTGGTACCATTTCTCCTATGAGTAAACCATTATCTCATGAATAGGCCATCCTCTCCTACTCATTAAGACTAAAGACTAGTAAGACTGACTAAAGACAAGGCTAAGGGGCTGGGGATTTAGCTCAGCGGCATAAGCACCTTTCTTGCAAGTGTGCGGTTGTGAATTCGATCCCTGATACCGATAAAAACGAAAAGAACAACAACAAAAAAAAGACAAGGCTAAGACTATAAATTATCTACCAAGATTGATGATGTCATCCATGTGCCCTGTGACTATCAGATCAGTATTAGCTAATTGGCTATACTGGTAATCTGATTGGCTGATTATAATTAGATCTGTATTGTACTCACCTCTGTGACTTTGCTTTATAAAACTTTCTTAGAGAAGTGGGTTCATTGGCAACCTACTTGGGACCCCTCCTGTCTCTCAGGAGCTATTCCTATTCCCCAATAAAATGTCCTACTCTTACGCTCTATGGTTCCTTAGAAGTTATTCTTTGATTTCAAACACCATGAACTTGGTGTATCTGACATCTAGCCGATTGGGACTTACATTTTTCCCCAATATATGATGTCCTTTTGTGATGGATAAGTTGAAGTGGGGGAAGTATGGAAAGGTAATTTAAAAGTTAATGATTACTAAAGGGGACATGTGTGCATGTAGTGTAATAATATAATGCTAAAATGAGAATGCACATACATGTATATATATATAGATGTGTATGTTTCATATATCATGGAAGTGTCCTCAGGTGGCTATCCCTTATCTCTTTTGCATTTTACCCAAAATATGGTAAGGAGCTGTTCTCCCTGGTCTTTTATGTTTCTGGCTTTCTCCATATTTTGTTAACTCTTTCTGGTAAATTCTTACAAATTCTTAGGCCCTCTCTGGGTCTATTTTTTCCTTTGTCTTTGTAATTTTTCTAACTATAGAGGCTTTTATTAAGATTTCCTATTAATTTTTAATAAAGCTTATCTTTTCCTTAGAAGCTGCTTTTCCCTACATGTGCGTGTGCGATGCTAGGTGGCCCTTAGTGTAGATAGTGTCCTGTGAAACAGGAGAACCAAAGGGTAGTGACCTGGGTGTTAAAATATTTTACCAAAACTATAAACATAGAAACAACAAGAACTTATTTATATCAGGGTACACTGTTGAGAGAAATCACAGCAATCAGGGTAAGAGGTTGGGTTTTTATAGGAGTTTGAGGGTATGAAAAAAGACTATAGGTTAAAAAGTGTGATATTTTAAAAATATCTTTTCTTGTCAGCACCTTGTACATCTTCAGAGAACACCTGTAATTTTCAAATTATATTTACAGCTGCAGTTTTGACAAGACCATTTTCTCTGGCTTATTTCTATAAGCTTAGTTTTAAATGTGGAGATCTATACATACCTTTTAGAGAGAATGGATTGAGTTGAGACTCACTGGGAGGTATGCGTGGGCTTCACATCAAAAGGTTTCTTGAGGTTGTAAGACTATACCTATCTTTAACTGGAATTCTTTCCTTAAGAGTTTTAACCTTTTTTCTCCCAATGGGCAATCACTGCATTAGACATAGTATATTGTAGAATTTGTTTACGTGTCCTGTTCCTTTGAACTTCTTAAGACAGTTTCATTCATCTTTGTTAATGTAGTACATGAGACATTATTCTTCACTGAATGACTGTTGACTTAGTACTCTGTTTTTATCTCTTTTCCTTGTAAGATTCTCTGTAACAAACTATCATAATACATTACTGTATCTTTCTCATAGCACTTGATACAGTGCTACATGTTTAGTAAATACAGTTATAGAGCTAATATACATATTTATAAACTAGAACTTTATTAAATGTCTTTCTTTATTAACAATAATGATTTGTTTCCTCCATTATTTAGGTGCAAGAATATTTGTTAGCAGTGTCGCAAACAGAATGTGGTGCCGAGGAACTATCACTGAATTAATTCCAATAGAAAGTAAAAATACTAGAAAACCTGGTAGTTCAGCCAAATTCTCAGTCCGTGAAGTTGCAGTTATAGAAATATTTATGATAGATTTTGGAAATTCAGAAGTCCTAATTGTCACAGGGTATGGTATTTTGTAATCACTTTTTTGGCCTGCTTAGGAACGTTGGGCGGGGTGTAATTTTAAAATGGAGGAAATTAGAAAAGGGTAAAGAATAATAATTTATCATTCTTCACTGCCAAGGCACATATTTTAGTATTTTGCTCTATGTTTATTTTATTAAATAAGTTAAAAAAATTACCAATATTAGTAGATTAGCTAGGTGTGGTGTGCATGCCTGTAATTCCAGCACTCAGGAGGCTGAGGCAGGAAGATACTAGGAGTTTGAGGCCAGTTTAGGCTGCATGTGAATTTTTTTTTTTTTTTTGGCACTGGGGTTTGAACTCACTACTTCATGCTTACCAGGCAGTCATTAATTTTTTGCCACTGAGCCTGCATGTGAATCTCCAGCCTGTATGTGAATTCAAACCTAGCCTGGACTGCATAGTGAAACTATCTCAAAAACAAAGCAAAAGGAAAATTACTAGGTTATGAGAATGAAACTTTTTGATGTACTGTAAATTTAAGTACTGTTTATGTTGCTTCAAAGCAGAGAATGTACACAGAGATGATTCTTTCAAAGTGTTACAGTTAGCTGCAGTAATGATGGAATAAAATCATGTTATTTCAGTAAAGAATATTAAAGTATCATTCTGTGAAACTCACACTAGGTGTTTAAATTTGTTTTTCTGGGTCTTTTAATAAAAGAAACTGCAATATTTCTGTGTACAAACCAGTATTAATTATAGCTTGAATCACTTTAATCATCATAGCTTTATAAATAGAAGAGAGGGTCATTATTTCCTTTGGGTTTAAACTGAATGAATGTATGAAATTTCAAATAAAAGTAGCTGAGATGTAATTCCGTAGATGAAAACAGCATGTGCTTTCAGAAACAAAATTAAGTCAATAATGAGAAAATACGAATTTGGATTATAACTTTCTAAATGATTACATTTAAGGAAATTATCCTTAGAAATTCATAGTTTTTAAGGAATAAAGCAAGCTCAAGGTCAAAACATTATTTTCAGAAATACTATTTAATTCTTCCTAGAGCTGGAGATACCCCTGTGAGGCCAGAACATAATACTCAGCAGCATGTTGTACTAAGTGATTTATGTCTGGTTCTAAGGAAGTCTGAATCATGTATTGAAGAGTTGCTGAAAGACATCCCACCATTAGCTCACCCTTGCTCCTTGAAAGACATTGTTCCACATAATTCAGTAAGTGAATTTTTCTTGAAAGGCTAAATATTCCAATTTTTGCCAATAGAATTGCTAGGTTTAGACTCAGGAAGCATACATATATCTCATATATTGCTAACAGAAAAAGCTAGGTTAACTGATTATCAGAAACATTTTTATTGTGCTACCAGGTTACATACACATCCACAGTTACTTTTGAATTTTCATCATTTAAGTGAAAAATCCATGCAGAATACATCTGTGTGTGTTGGTAGTGGTTTAGGGTTTGAAATCAGAGCCTTTATACTGAACTACATTCCTAAACCTTTTTAATAATTTTTTTAAATTTTGAGGCAGAGTCTTGCTTATTCATAAAGTTGCCCATGCATGGCTTAAATTTTCCCTCCTCCTGCCTTAGCTCCCTAGAATGCAAGGATTGTGCATATGTGCTACTATACCCTGCTAAAAATCATTTCCATATTACTATACTATTCAGTAATAAAACTGAAGTCTAAAGTAAAATCTACTTATAAACACCTTCAAATACACATTACCATAAAATACACATTATGTGCATTAAGACTGTCCTTGGGTTTGTGGTTTTAACTGTTTCTTATATTTATGGTTAGTTTAGTGCCTTTGCCCAGAGTTTCAGATAGTACAAAGTTACATCCAGATAGTGTAATTTTAGAGGTAATTAAAATTGCTAATTTGAAATTTTACTTTTTTTCCCCACAGAGTAAAGGCTGGGAAGAGGAAGCTAAAGTGGAATTTTTGAAAATGGTAAATAACAAGGCTGTTTTAATGAAAGTTTTTGGAGAAGAAGATGGTGTGCTTATTGTAGATCTGCAGAAACCACCAACAAATAAAATAAGCAGTGATATGCCTGTGTCTCTTAGAGATGCATTAGTTTTTATGGAGCTAGCAAAGTAAGTAACTTGTTAAAACAATTACTCTTTAAGATTATAGCTATAAATAGGTGTAGCAGATTTTACCTTTTAACATGCACTCTATAGTGAACTTAGTATACACTTATGGCTTGTATTTAGGGCTTCACGCAGTCGTGAGGAGTGAGCTTTTCAGAGGTGGTTGATCTGTAGTGTGTGGTACTGGCATCAAGGGTGTGTGATTAGTAAATCAGTCCACTGGGTTTGGCATACTTAGTATAGAATTAAAGGTGAGAGTGCTATACTTGCCCTAGGGTACGTAGCCTGCATACAATATAAGGAACAGAATCTTGTCCCTCCCTCCCTTGTTGCTTTTGCTATCTTGGGGATGCCATGAACTGTTATTCCTCTGTAATGGCTCCTCTGCCAAGCATACCTGACTTGAAGCCAGCCAATTATAAGATTGAAACATCTATAAACCGTGAGCCACATAAACCTTCCTCCTTTAAATTTAGGTGTTGGGTGTTTTGTCTGAGCAATTAGAAAAGTAACTAAGATAACATAGCCTTAGAAATTAGCAATATGTCTATCAGGGTTTTCTAATCTGTGAAAACTACATTCAGTTAATTTATTTTAAGAAAAAGAAATGAATGTATAGCTCAAAATAGAAAATACATATAACTAGGAATCATTTTTAGACTGATAACTACAAACAGCTCTACTGATTCACAAATTATAGTTCAGGTGTTCATAACTGAAATTCTCTAGCCTTTGAAAAGAGTCATGGTCACTAACATATACTTCATATCTGAATCTAGAATACTTAAAGTATCCTTTTCTTCATTTCTGATAAGCAAACAGATGATGATTTAAGGAACTATAGAAGTAGTGGTAGTTCTAACTTCCTATCCTGGATGACTGACCCTAAAATGATCCAAGTGGTAAAAGCAGAATGTTGGGACTGTAAAATATCACAGAGACCCCTCAGCTGCCCTGAGTGCTGCTATAAACCGTGACAAGCACAGTATGCATTCAACTCTAGGTGTCCTGACACACATTTGAAACTTAATGAGCTCTTACCCTGGGACCACACAAGATGGCATAAATAGAGCTGGTTATGTGGGCAAAAAGAATTTACCCCACAAGGATTAAAGATAAGTTTGTTCATGCCACCTACGCTGTCAAGGACTGCAAACCAGCTTCCTAAAGGGTTATTGTGAGATCACAGTGAGAGACTGGGGTTATTGTAAGGGTGTGAGAATGTGGAGGAAGGGTCTAACAGCAGAGGTGATGAAAGAACATCCTTTGCCAGATCGGCTAGTGCCTTGTACATCTTTGGGAAGCACCTGCACCTAATGTGTCTAACATTAGATATTTCAAGTTGGTAAGACCATTCCCTCAGCCTCACTGAAGGCCGCTTAGCTTCAGATAAATAAGTCTGATCACAAATGACTTTTAGACAAAGATGAGTCAGGGCTCATTAGAGGAATGAATGGACCTTACAACACAGGCTTGTTAGACCTTGTGTCATTTTAGTCATTGTTGCTGTATTGTCCTGTGATTGCTTTGTCCTACCTGGCAGAACTGCTTTACAGAAGGGTTCTGCTGCCAAGAGCTTTAACCCTTTTGTTGCCAGCAAGCGGCCACCACACCAGTTTTGTAATTTGAGACAATACCAAGAAATGTAAGTTAGGAGGAGAAATTGGAAAAGAAATACTTTGGCTAAGTAAATCAGTAGAAGCTTATTCTTCAGACCAAGTCACTAAGAGAAGAAATACTTGAAGAAAATGACTGTTACATTTTTAATTATGCCTTTAATTAGGTTTAGGTCACATTCACCAAGAAGTCACACTGAAAATACAACTTTATGCTATCATCCGCCTATTTTGCCAAAAGAAAGGACAGATGTTTCAGTTATGGTTTGTTACATAAATAGTCCTACTGATTTCTATCTTCAGTTGGTAAGTATATAATGTTCATTTGGGATTTTAACATGTTTTTAAATAAAAACATATAACAGGGATAATACTATCAGTATTAACAGGGATATTATATCAGTATTAAAGAAAACGAACCACTGTTGACTTGCTATACATTTAAATCTCTTAGGATCTACAACTTTAACAAAAAGTCTACAGGATTCATATTAAATTGAAAGAATTCTTTGTCCTGAAACTTAGTGAAGGTATAGGGGAAAAGTCACTGATTATTTAATGTGTAAGTGTTTCTTGCTACCTTGTGAAATCTAGAGATTGGAAAAGCATGTAGAGCTAAGAAATCAAAATTACACCTTCACTAAGTAACTACTGTAGATCTCCTAATATTGTGGTCCTATATGTCTTTTTCATTTCATGTTTTTCTAGGAATTTATTTTGTTGTCTTGTTTTGATCTGTTTTTCCCTATAATACAGAAAGGATAGATATACATGTAGAGATTCACACATGGGAAGAATTTCTAAACTATTTATGGGAACAAATTATAGAATACACAATGTAATGAACAGATACTCTGAAAAAGAAGAGACACTGAGAAACCCAATGCTAATTCTGTAGCATTAGCATATAAAAATCTAGCAATACTGTCATTCAGTGTTCAGAGTGATATTGGTCTAGTCTCTTATGTTCAGTTTCAGCATAAAGATACAGACAGCTGCTATGAAGAGACTGAGAAACATTATGGTAGTCGTTATTGACTTCCCCAAAATCAGGTCTTGAAGACCTAAAAAGCCTTCATCATCCTGTAATGATTTGAGTAGTTCTATAATGTTCAGTATATATTCAGTGTGTGTGAAGATGGGGACAACTATTTAGAAGAAAACTAGAGAAAATAAGATAGACAGTGAAGATCTCCAGTGTACTTGCTTTGAAATCTGTGTTTCTTTAAATTGTTTCCTTATGAACTGTTTTGTTATGTTTAATCTTACCCTATTTAAGATAAAAACAAGTGTGTAGGACTGATAACCATATTACTAAGTTCTTATTGGATCGTTGAGCAAAAATAAAGAAAATAGATTAAGGCACATTAGTGTAAACTCTGAATACATAACAGATATGTTTATTTAGATAACCAGTAACAGTGTAAGTTCATCTTTATTGCTCTTTCAGTGCTTTATATGAATTTACTCATCAAAAAGGCCCTAGGGCTTTATGTGAACTAATTCACTAATCATCAGAAAAAAAATCCTGTGAGAAATATGCTACTGTTCCCATTCACATGTGGAGACTAACCAGAGGAATAAAGCATATTTCCTGAGGATGTGAAACTGCACTGGCAGAGCCAGCATTGGACTGGTTTATTTTACAACCATGTACCCTCTGGGCTTGTCATCTCCAGTGCTGCACTACACTGTCTGGCTTCCTGGATGATTTGTGGAAGCTGTGGGACCTGTGTTGTTTGCTTCCTTGCTTGTTTGCTTTTTCTTCAGTGTCTTTTTGTTAATATTATTATGGTAAAATATACATAACAAATTTACCACTTTAACCATATTTAAGTGTACAATTCAGTGCCATTGAGTATATCCACAACCTTGTGCTCTCATAACCACTATTCATTCCAGAACTCTTTCATTATCTTAAACAGAAGCTGTATACCCCATGAAGATCTTACTTCCTTTCCTCCAACTGCTGATAGATTCTGTTCTGTTTCTATGAATTTGCCCATTCTAGGTACCTCAGAAAGAGACATATAATACTTCTTTTTATGTTTGGCTAATTTCATTTGAGCATAATGTGTTCAGGATTCATGTGTAGATCAGACTTTATATCAGATTTGGCAGGGGGTACTGGGACTTGAACTCAGGGTCTTGCACTTTCTAGGCAAGCACTGTGCCACTGAGCTATATCCTGGGCCCATCTTTTTTAGTTTGTATAATGTATGTATCACATTTTATGTATCCATTTATCTGGGTCCCATCACTCCCTTCTATCTGTTGACACCAGGATGGTTTCTGTTTTGGCTATTGTGAATATTGCTGCTATGAATATCGGTATGAAAGTATTCATTTAGTTCCCTGCCTTCAGCTTTTATTTGATTGATTTTTCTATATGTACCTGGGAATGAAACTGCCAGGTAATTCTGTGTTTAACTTTTTTTTAATAGTTAAGAAAGTTATACCAATGATTACTCTGAGTTCGCTGAAGAAAGAGAAAGATTTGTACTGGTATTGTTCAGACAGCTGAATGCAGTTGTGTTCAGACAATGGAATGCAGGTGTCAGTGCTCATTGCATGTACCATTGTAGCCCCCTGGTTGACACGTTTTAAAATTTTGTTTTAGTTTTCTTTTCTTCTTTTTATCCTTGAAATAAAATGGATTTAGGGAAAAAATAACAATTAAAAGGAAAATTTTTTGGTATCAGGAATTGAATTCAAGACCTTGCACTTTTCAGTCTATGTTAATTTTTGAGGAACTGCCAAATTGTTTTTCAAAGCAACCATACAGTTTTATAGCCCCACTAGCAATGCACAAAGTTCCAGTTTTTCCATTGTCCTCACCAAAAGTTATTTTCTGTTACTGTTGTTTAAATGATAGCCATCTGAATAATTATGAAGTGAAATCTCATTGTAGTTTTGATCTACATTTCCCCATTAACTGGCGGTGTTGAATATCTTTACATGTATTCACTTATTAGCTGGCTATGTGTACATCTTTTTGAAGAAGCATCTATTCAAATCCTTTTTCTATTTTTTAGTTGAATTGTTTATCTTGTTATTAGATTATAGACATTCTAGATATTAATATATAGACATATTCTAGATATTAAGTCCTTGCAGATGTGACTTTACACAAATAATTTCTCCCATCCTGTAGATTGTCTTTCCACTCTCTTATAGTGTCTGTTGAGCCACAGTTTTTATTTTTGCAAAGTCTGATTCATCTATTACTTCTTTTTTCACTTGTGCTTTCAGAGTCATATTCAAGAAATCATTGCTAAATACACTATCCAGTTGCTTCTCCCCCAGGCCTACTAAAGTTTTGTAATCATAGCTTTGTATGTGTGTTTTTGTTCTTGTTAGTTTCAGTCCTTGGGATTAAACCCAGAGCCTGGTGCATGCTAGGCAAGTGCTCACCTACTATGCTACACTCCTGCCCTGTATTTATACTACTTATATTTTGATCTTTTAATCCATTTTGAGTTAATTTTTGTATAAGGCAAGCCTCCATTGTCATTCTTTTGAAATGGTTATCCATTGTTCCCAGTTTTTTTTCCTCCTTAATGGTCTTGTCACCCTTGTGAAAAAAAGTCTTATTTCTGAACTTTCTGTTTTATTCTATTGATTTTTTTGCTTATGCCCGTATCATACTGTTTTGATTACTGTATGTTTGTGCTAAGTTTTAAAATCAGAATGTTGAATTCTTCAGCTTTGCTTTTTTTTTCAAAGTTGGTTTGACTCTCCAGGGACCCTTTCATAGCTGTATGACCATTAGAATGAATTATTTTATTTATGCAAGAAATGACAGATTTTAAAGTCTTCCAATCCATCAATGTGAGATTTCTTTGTCATTTATATCATCTTATTTAATATGTTTGGGCAATTTTGTATAGTTTTCAGCATCTAACTCTTTGATTTCCTTGGTTAAATCTGGTACTAAATTTTTACCTCTTTTAGATACTGTTTTAAATGGAACTTCTAAATTTCCTCTTCAGATTGCTCATGCCTCATGTATTGAAACTGATTTTTGCATGTGGGTTTTGTGTCCATCAACTTTGCTAAGTGTTTTCTATGAGGCATAGGAGTGGAGAGTCATTGGGGGGTTTCTTATTGAGTCAACTGTGAATAGAGATAGTTTTACTTCTTTTTTCTAGTTTGGATGATATTTGTCTTTTTCTTGCTCAATGCCTCTGACTAGAACTTCTGATATCATTTTGAAAATGATATGCAGAAATAGATATCCTTTTCTAATTCTTGTCTTAAGGAAGCTTTGTCTTTCATCATTTCATAATAAAGTTGTCTGTGTTTCTTACATGACCTTTCTCGTGTGATGTAAGTTTCCTTCTGTTCTTACAGTTTTTTCCATGAAAGAGTGCTCAATTTTGTAAATACTTTCTTGCAACAGTTAAGGTAATTATGTTTGAATCTTTTTCCTTGATTCTCTTAATGTGGTATATAACATGGATTTTCTTATGTTGAACTATTTCTGGATTACAGGATAAATTTCTGCTACATCATGATAGGAGATAATTCTGACATAAATTTAATATAGTTGATGTCTTGTCATCCACTTTAGGCCTGCCAACATAAGTTGTTTCAAACATTATTCTACATTACCTATGGCCTAGTTAAAACTTTCCCTCCCTATGTAATTACCAAGACACAATACCCACGCCCAGAGTTAAAGGAGAAAGGTATAATTCAGCTCACAGTTTATAGAGGTTTCAGTCTGTAATCAGCTGGCTCCAAGGCAGAGAGAGGGGCGTGGCAGAAGAGAAACAGTTCATGATGGGCAGAGGGCAGTAAAAGAGAAGGCAGCAAACAACAAAGTAGTAAAGTAGCAAAACAGCAAGTGAGAACAGTAGCCCTATTTTTGTCACTTATACTCTTATCTTGATTTTCTGTGCATAGGATGGGTAGCACTTACACTCAAATTGGGGCACCTTTAATCTTAGCATTAAACCATGAATCAATCCTGGCATCATACACTCTGTATTCAGCTGCCTCAGAAAAGCCCCAACTATTATCACATAAGACTTTGGAGGACATCTAGACACAAACCATAACAGGTGGTTTGCAGTAACTTTCTCCAAACCTAAAACTTCCACCTCCTAGACACTATAAAACCTAATGGTTAACACCAAAGTCATGTAAATAAACTCCCTATTTTGCAGGGTTTTTTTTTTAACTCAAAACGGTATCCCCAGTGGTTCTCCGTCCTTTTCTTGCCCCTTTCCAATTTTCTGGTGGTAACAAATGCTTCTGTTATTTTACACATTTTGTTGTGTTCTTTCATCTGTGTCTTTTTT